TATATTGTAACTCTAAAGAAACGATCGATCAGATCATTGAATTTCAAGTCGTAGACGGGAAGATTGCTTTGCTGTGCAGCTCAACCTGATAACGTTTTGATTGGTCAATCAGCCTGAAGTCACACGTCGTGTCCACGCGTATATCTGTTAATCAACAAGGTTTCGCGATACCCCTGATAGCGTAGGTATTATGGAAATTTCGAAACCGTTGAATATCTCAGCATAATAGCAGCGGAGATGTATTGGATTGTACAAGGCGGTAATAATTCAAGATCAGATAAGTAAAAAATACCGACTTGGGCAAGGCTAGGGATATTCATGCCAGATGTTTTGGTAAAAAACTTTTTTTTAAAAAGAACGCGCAAGAATTGTGAACGGAGTGTAGTTGATCTAAAAACTTCATCGAAACAGCTTTAAAATGATATATAACTTTAATTAATATATTATCTTATAATCCGGGGAATCAAAGTTACATTCACGCGATACCCTTAAAAACAAATGCGCCACCTTTTTGCGACTCGTCAGTATATCTGCCCGCTACGTCATAATCGCTGTTCTCGTATTGGTTCTTTTTTGTAACGTTCGCATACTGTGAACAACAATTTGAACAGGAAAATCCGGCTACGGACAAGAATACAAAACTGGACATGAATATTTTAGAATAATTCCATGGTTGGTTGCAAAGCTTTGGCCAATTGAACAATGTGATTGGTATGGGATAAACAGATCATCCTATAGTCGGTTCAGGATATTGGGATTATCCCGAGGCCAATATAATATATCTGTCCGAGGGCCTTAGGTCCCGAGGATTGATACATTATATTGCCCAAGGGATACTGCAAATATCCTGAACCGACTATAGGATGATCTGTTAATCTCATACCATTTTTGGTCATTTGGTTGACATTGTTCAATTGGCCAAATTTCAGAAAATTTCCACCCAACCGTAGAATAATTTTAGTATATTAATGTCCAGTTTTGATTTCTTGGCCGTGGCCGGTGTGAAAGAAATGATGGTCCCCCAGGGATTATGGTCCCTTTCTTAAAGGCCCTTACATGTTACTAGCCCTAATTGCGTATAAGATAATGAGGGAAAGAGTTCTATTGAGGTCACCATATAAATCAATGGAGAGTAGGACCATAATTTGATAGGACCTCCTACCCTTTACACCGGTTTTCCCGTTCTTTCAGATATCCATCCACATTATTTATTACCTCGAATCTTTGATTATTAACAGGAATTCCTCCATTGTCGTTTACAGTATTATACAAACGTTACAAAAGATGAACCATTCATTTGTTCAATCTTTGCATTGGTGTTAAAAGTGTTAACAATTTATACTAGACGTTGATGTATCGTGATAATAGGTTGTTTAAGCTTACGATGTTTTTTACAACCTAAACGTGAACGGGAAATATTTAAACGATGCATTTGTTTTGGCGATTGGTCATACGTATAGGTTGACCTTTAGATTTTATTTGCAAGCTTAAACTCCCTTATCTATTACGATTACGAACCAAATCATTTTGAATGTATTATTTCAATAATAATATTTCTGATTTTAAATCTGTTTCCATAATGGAATTCAAAATGACCTTATCATTCAGGGCGTCAGCTTCTCATTTTGTGCGTCTTCCCGCCAGTACCAAGATGTGATTAACAAAATCACTAACGTGTTGAGTCCATTGCCATAATTGCTTGCCTTTTGTTTCCTTAAATCTGATTCGATGGCTACCTATACTACAGTATGTTGAATTTTGATTCTAAACTGAGCTCCACATGTCCCGTGCTTCTTAATTTGCGCGTCTCATTGTATCTCACATGACATTTTTAGCTGGCTGAGCAAACCAGACAAGACATGACAATCGGAAACACCGATCCATATGATGCTGAAATGCGACCTGTACTTCAACATGATGGAATTCCTCTCATCTTTTAAACACTTGGTTCCACATGACGCGCGAAATCATCAACTTAACATTAATTTTATTTTTACAGCAGTTTATTGTATTGCCGAGTTTTTGCAATTGGATGCTGCTATTTCCAGATAAGATCCCTGCTTCACATGAATCACATCCGTTCATTTTAGCTTAGGGTAGTCTAACAGCCACTGGGTTGCTGCACAACTTTGTCATCGGTCATCTTCATGAGAGGGGGTTGGCATTAGGCCATCTGGCTCAGGGAATTATTGTATGGGAGTCAAATACGGGTGGGCGGTTAGGAAAGTCCGTAATATTTTTGATACTTTTTTATGATGGCCTAAACATACGTATATGCGCCTCTTGCACTGGTAAAACTTATCATAATAACATAATCACGTGAGACTTTTTTAAAGAATTGATAGTTGATGATGAAAGAGAGTCGTAAATAACAATGATATTACATAATATTAAAAGAGTCGCACATGTACATGTTTAGTTGTCACAATAATAACAATAACAATGATATATGATATACATGTGCTCTGTAGAGTATCAATAATTATTATATCTATTACGTTGGCTACAATCGTGGCAGATTTGCAGAGTAAAATCGGGCTTCACTCCATTTTGGAGAGACACTTGCTCCTGATTTCAGCGGGACCTCCTCATGTTTTCAGCGGGGCCTCCTCATGTTTTCAGCGGGATCTTTAGTTTATTGCTCATGTTAGAAGCGGGGCCTTGAGGGATATGGTAAAATGGAAATATATAAATTTCGGTGAAGCTTTAGGAAGTGAAACTCAGAATACCTTTATTTCATATGACTATGAACATTTCAACTGAAGGGCAACGACCTTCTTTAGCTATAAAATATAGAAATATATAGATAAAGATTTAAGATGATACATTCTCTCTCCAATTATCAAATAACAAAATTCAGAACATCAGATCGTGATACTTGTTTTGCAGTAGTTGCTTTTTAGTATCACTGCCATGTAATAATTGAATAAAATTAAATGAAAACGCTTTGTACAACATACAATTTAAGTAAACAAAAGATACCCCTTCATTTCTTTTAATTGCTCGCGATTTCAGCGGGAACTTGCTCGCGATTTCTAAATCATGGCGGGGCTTCAGATACTACCCGTGATAGACGTGAGTATATTTAATTAAATTCCATGACATTTATCATAAATATTATTACTACTCATACATAATTTGACAATAAAATTAACCCGTTTCCGTCACGATTCACATTGACTTCTAATGTGTTAAGATTTTCCCGCGAAAAACTGCCCTACTCTGACGTCAGAGATTTCATATTTGCTAATTATAATATTCATGAGCTGACTTTGGGGAAAGGTGAATAAGCCAACATAACTTATTTAGATCTAGCTGCATAAGTGAATATTTATTATACAATCATAATACGATATGTAAACAAGTATTTTGATTTATAGTCTATTTACAATGTATATTTTTTATAATTATATACAAAAGTTTGTAACTATAGCGTGCATTGAATTATACAACAACACTCAATGCAATTTGTTCCGAAGCCCTGTATAATTGCAAGTAAATGTTGTCATGACGTCATTCTTACAGTTTTAGGGCATTACATTTCAATTAATTTACTTACAATAGAAAATATTGAACAAATGAAATTATTTTATTAGTTGTATATAGCCTATGTACTGTCTTGGAATGGTGTAATTAAGTACGTTTACACTTTTTGTAATGTTATGCGCTGTCAAATGATTTAACCTTTTTGAGAATGACCTACATTCATTTCCCAATGTGCGCATTTATTAGATTACATTTAAGACCGTATTCTGGAAGTGATATATGACATTTACAAATAAATATAAAAATACAACACTGCACTTCACACACCTTTATAGCAATATTACACGCAGCTTGATATGTGATTCCACGAAAATATCATACAGAGACAATATTTTGAATAAATGGGCCCTGGGTGTATTACATGTAGTTATTCAGAATTAAAAATCTGAACTCATAGAGAGCGATGTTATCATCAATCCGAATAAATTCCATTGGACTTTTTTTTAACAACACGTTTCTATAATACTTCACGAGGTCTGTAACTTCAAAACAAAAAGATAAGTCTTGGTTTGGAGAACGAAGTTCATCAGTCTACTTCATTTTGATATTTTTACATATTGTAGATTTAAATGTCCTCTTTTTGAATATCCCTAATTTAGTTTGGGTGTTATTTCCATATTTTTCATAAAAAATATTAGCGCAGTGATGAACTTCGTTCTCCAAACCGAAACTTGTCTTTTATTGAATCGGTCTACTGCACGTTACGCCTGCTTCGGACACTTTTGAATGAAATGTGTTAATAAGTTATCAGTGTTCGCTATTAAACGTTCTGATACGACGTCAGATACTGTACATCGCGGCATTTTACTGCATTTTTAATGCGTACTTACTTTTAAAACCGCAATATCTCGACAGCAAAATCATATTTTTCTACAATTTTTCGTCATCAGCTTTTAATTTGAACCAGTATATATTGAGATAGACATCGTTTTATCACCGCAACCCCAAGTGAAGCCTTTACAAAATAAGACGTTACGCCGTTAGCGTATCATATGTTCTCCTTTATTATTCATTGCTTTAAATAAATAAACTAAATATTCGAGTTAAAATAAATTACAAATAATGCATTTAACAATCCTTAATATCTTCCCGTCTGTGTTTATCAGTTGAATATAACAAGGGGCATTGTGAAAGAGTCTAGAAAGACGGTGCGACAACGAGAGCGCAGGGCCGAAAAGCGTGACAAAGAAGAAAACGGGTAGGGTTTGAAGTGTCTACTTTCTGGTGATTCTAATTCTGTATATCGTGACACAACCTTTTTGAATATAGAATTGTATTGAAGCGCACATTAATCTGAACAAAACTTGAAGTTTTTAAGAAGATTCCACGAATATTAAAACGTTTGCAATTACTTGGAGGAGCATTGCGCATATTTATCGCGTAAATCTTTGCATTTTGTCGGTAAAATGAACAATTACACTGTTACGCCGTGATGTACAGTATCTGACGTCGTATCTCTATAACCTTAAACTAATATATTAGGAAAAGTTTGATGATTTCAAAATATACATCACTATATCATACAAACTCTGGAGAAGAACCTGAGTTGCTAGCTCTTTTATACTTCAAATCCTCACTCACATGCGACCTGACCAGTGCAACTATTAACACGATTATAATGAGAAGTAAAACTATAGAAATACACGCAAAAATCCACGTAGCAAGTCCTTTATCTTCAAGCTCATATCTTGATGACGTCACCATATTTTGTAGTTTTGGAATCAGTTTTTGCCAGAAGGCCACTTTGTCTGGTTTTAACTGTTTCTTCATAACTGCTTTCTTATTTGATATATGTAAGTATTCCCCTTCTTCACTCATAAGGCTCCAGTAGGTGCCTTTCTTATGGCCCTCTGGAGTAGGTTTCCTAGTAAAGCAATGGACAATGAGACATAAAAAAGGAAGAAAACATTTTATTCTTGCAGAGTATAACATTTTATTTTAATTTCACAGGGGCCTAAGACAATATACGAGGGGTGATCAATAAGTAATGGACGCTTTTTTACACAGATGTTTTTTATAGACCAGTACCTTTGATTTTCTCACCAGTGATACATTATTCAACAATCTATCAACTCTGAAGATTTGAAAGCAAAGCATGCAACATATTTTGATATATCTTTATTTCCGTGAAGGAGGTATAGGTACCCCGGGACCGACATAACGTCACACATTCTGAAGCTATTTTAGCTTGTTTAACATGCAATGCAGTTGAATACAGGCTGAACAAAACTAACCATGATGGTCATGAATAACACGATTTTGATATGCCATACACTGTACTTGATTTTGAATATTTTATCATCACTATGTGGTATTCATGCCACATTCATTCTACAGAATCCTCTGCATAGGTTCTATCAAGTGCTATATGTACACAATTCCTCCCCAAGATTATGTGACAAGGCCGAATCCATTCTCTGACGTGAAAGCAAGATGTAGTGGCACAGCTTGTTTTGTTTCATCAATGTCTTACCTGCTTCCTTGATCTATAGAAATTCGTAATACTAGTAGAGAAATAAATAAGTCCCAGATCTGGACAAAATGGTGCAGTTGCCAAGGGCTCAATTGAGGTCCAGGAATATTGTAATGTACTCTGAACATTTTGAGATCTTTGGACAGGTGCATTGTCCATATGGAGAAGGGTGTTCCCTTCTCTCATCAACCCCTTCTTCTACAATGCTTTCTCAAATTGGCCTGCAAACCCATACAACACTTTGACAGCACAATACTTACCGTTTATGTGTTACCTGAGTCAGCAAAATATTCAAACAACATGACACGTGTTGCATATCAAAAAGTTCAAATCTAACTTAAATATATCAGACTGGCTAAAAACTAAATATGTGACGTAAATTTCAGTCCCGGGGTACCTGCACCTCGTTCACGTAAATAAGCATATATCAACATGCATTACATATTTTGTCATCAGATCTTCAGAATTGATAGATAATTGAATGATGTATCACTGGTAAGAAAATCAAAGGGATTGGTTGATAAAAAGTATCTTTGTAAAAGAGTGTTCATTACTTATTGATCACCCCTCGTAGGAGCACGAAGCGCGCAATCTAAATGGAGACAATGTGTATAAATACCTGTTACATCGTTGATACAAAGAATTTAATAGATGGTGCTTCAGTCGAATGTACCCAAGACAATTCAAAACTTACCCATATTTTGCAAAATTACTCCAGAGCTCCATGACATTTCCACTCTCTCGTTTGTCATCCTCAGTAAAGACCCGATATCTCCCCTCTTGTCCATCCACATTCAATCCAGTAAACGGCGATCCGAATAAATAATTTAACTCGTTGCCATGGTAACTACCCATCCATTTCTTTGGGAATATTGAAGAAGTGACGTCAAACGAGTACATGTAGACTTGCGAGTCGTCTGCCTTCGCAAGACGTGCCCCCATATATATAGAGGGCACCACCAATGATAGATCGCTCACAAACTAAAAGAAGAACATATATTATATGAATTTGATGTCAATGAAACAAAATAACGCGAAATCTAACTTTCCATTTGCTGGAAATAATAAGATTGATAACCAACACTGTCTAGTACGGCCAACTTACATCAATGTATTTCTGTCTTGTAATATTCTGGTCATTTATGTTGTCCCAGTCTGTATACATATTCTTGATGACCTCTGACACGGCCTTGTCCCAGCCAAACCTCACGGTAACCACGTGATCAATACAATCAAGAAAGGTCTGCCTGTCTAACTCCCAATCTGTAATATAGATGACATGATCAGAATTCATAAAGTCCAAAACTTTTAAAAACACAGTTTGGAAAAAGAACTGTTCAGATTACAACCGATAACAAGAAAAAACCATCATCCCAGACAATGATCTAATGTATAAAGTAACAATTCGTAACAAGGTCCCTTCAACAATAATCCAAAATCAAAAAGACAATTCTCGAAATCGTTGTTCCCTCTTCAAAAGAGAAGACGCGAAAATCTTTCCTTATAAGGGCAAAATATTTCCCATGATGCAGTTCGCGGAGGAACAAATTTATACTTCCTTATTTTCCCACATAGGTTTAACATGGGGATTTTCACACCTATTTTTCAAACGATATATTCGTTCATATTCCCGTACGAGAGTACAGAAAAAATTATTAGAAACGATTGATCTCTCATTAATCTTAATATAACAGCTATTTTTTTCATTGTATTAATTCATAGCGTGGTGAAAACGATGATTGGAAAGTGAGAAAATATTCCGGAAGAGAAGGTCACGTGATCAGTAGACTAGTCGCCATATTGGAAAAAACAATTCCATTCGACTTTCAATACTTTCATGCCAATCTTACCGCACTACAAACTGCGACATCGATGCAACAACTGAATAAAAGTATTCATCTTCAAATTACATTATAGAGTTACGTTGAAAACCCACAAACAACTGAGCAGTAGACCAAAGAAGACGCGTCGCTAATATCTAGGTCAATCTGTTCAGTGGTCCGAAAGCAAATCCATAGTACTCGTTTCCGAATTTTGTTGTTCATTGTACAATCTTTTACTGATTAAACTCGGTATACTGACCATTAAAGCAATGACAAAGAAGAATACTTACGATGTTGTCATTGTTTTATTTAGCGTGCTGGTGTAAAAACAAAATTGAGTAATTAGTTTGATTTAGAACTTTCGTGTCACGCAAATGCCTACGCGAAATGCAGTGGGAAACTATTGACCAATCAAATTTTGTCCTTTTTGAGTGCTTTTTCAGTGCACATTTGCGAACGTTCTGATTCAAAGAGCGAACCGCGAAAAGGAGAATTGGCATAGCTGAGCTGTGATAATACTAACAAAAATATTTTTATTTGAACAGAGCGATCTATAATTGCCCCTTAACACCTAAGACGTTCGCTCTTTTCAGAATTGACATTACGATTTCACCCGAGCCCCAATAAGGTAGTTTCTATATAGCTAACACGACATGTCACCCTTGTGTTTCTTTGTTTCGGTTGGGCCAGACTGCTATTGAGTCCCATGTTATAAAATTGAAACAGTCACTTAATTGCACGATTTGTCAAAACGTGTCGGTTGAATTGACTGTCTGGAACTCGAATGGCATACTATGGGATGGCCCTGGTAATGTACATTCATGTTGTGATTAATCTTGACAATTTTGGTTGTCGAATGAGTAATCCAAGTTTTTAAAGAAATTTAGCATTGCATCAGTGGAGATTTGGTCCAATTTTTTGAGACAAGTTGTAAAAGTCATGGAATGCCATAACTGTATAAATCAAAGTTATTTTAGATTTGGCTTTTTATTTAATGCAAAGATGCTATTAAAAAGAAGAAAAGGCAAGTTATTATAGGTTTAATGTGCAAATCGAAACGAAAAAAAGAGAATTAGCGGGATTTCAAGGCTAAGAAATGTACGATAAATCATGATCGGATGACGATGAGCTGCTTCACTTACTCTTTGTAGGATTCTTATTCCGCTCTGTAAAATACTCCCTAAGGAACCAGCCGATGTTGCTGGCCCACTCACTAGTAGTGAATCCTATCATAGTGGGGACCTTGTGGAACACCCCCATCTGTAGGTTGTAATCGGGAGACTCCAGAACAAACCTACCATCTATCCATGGTTTCATATTCGTATTCGAGGGGCTAATTCTGGGTAGCTGAAAATAGCGGATTATGGTTTTATTTTATTTTTTCTATTTGCTTATCTATGGCTATTGATGGCCCAGACTGGGATTTATTAAGGTTGGCAAAGTAGGGTCCGAATGCAATTCTACATGAATGACAGAGGCAACGGTAACGTACCTTGATACATCTAATTCAACTGAGTCTATAGAAAAAGGACGAATGAAGATGAGCTTAGAGGAAGTTTCGAAAAAATGCTTGATTCTTTTTTCTTGATTCTTTTTTCATTCCACATTTTTTATTCTGAAAAGGCTATCAGTCTTTTTCAAAGGATAGCCCTGCATATTACGTGTCGAAACATTGAAACTGTGACGTTTCCTTTTCATTCCACTGTATATTAACATGTCTTTAAAACCCAATTTTTGTGTGCATGAAACAGAATATATGTATGACAAAATGATATCAAGGCTATTAGTAATAATTACGCAAAATTGATTATTTGTAAATTCATGGGTGATCTTAGAATGTGTCCAATTTTCGGAAAATCAACATTGAGACAAAATCATAACTTGAGATGATGAGAAATTCAGAAGGAATTGAAGTCTCGTTTTTTGTTTTAATTGAAAAATGAAGAATAGGCAATGGTAAAATACCTAGTAAAACATCAGATAACTGAATTAAGAAATCATTAAGACAGCAGAATGATCAGTTGGATTTCAAAGTCAAATATTTGATAATGAGTTGGAAGAGGAAGAAAGGAGAACTATTAAACACCTGAATCGAAAAATTGACCAGCTTACACCTATCTAGAGAGGTTTCTAAGAATAGGGGTATGAGAACACCTGAAAGCATTGTGTCTGATTGCATTGAACGCAGTTTCAAGATATCACTCTGAAGGTGCAGCCATACACGTACTTAAAGATGGGTTACATTTTCTTTTCTTTCAAAAGTGCACATATTTTAATTGACCATAAGAAGAATACTGAGTGTTAGGTAACATATTTGACCTCACATTGTCATCCATATATTGTAGATTATGTACATAAAATGAAGCTAATTTTTGGAGGTTCTGTTTTTTGGTCACGCGCCGTATTTCTAATATTCAACATCTTTTTATTAATAATATTCAAATTTTTTTCATATAAATCTTACGTGCTCAGTTTTATCCAAGATATTTGCCCAGTGTTGTTTCTGTAGACACTCCACATCCGGGTCGCCATTGAAGTTACAATTGAGTTTTTCAGCGACCTCTCTAGCATAGGATTGCAGGTTAACTGTTTTGTTGTGTACCGCCCAAAAGGCATTTGGGGGCCCACTTTGAATTATTGCCCTGTGGAAGAGACCTATATTCAAAAAATGGGAGAAAAATCCTGTCAAAAAAAGGCTAGTTTGATAATATAAATATACGTTAAATATCAGAATGACAATTTAGTGAAATTGCCCCCAGAATGAAAACTCATCGCTGGTTGTAATAGTTGTATTGTTAGTGTTTATCTTCGTATATTTTTTTGATATTTAAATCCGTGATTTATTGTGATCGATTTTAGATTCAAGTTTCATTACGAAATATTTCTCGATAAGATATCAAATATGAAGTTTAAACCGCCTTGTTTTGAGCAAAAACATTGTTGGTGATAGGTGTACACATATTTGAAAGTTCGGAAAAACAAACTCCCAACCAGGCCATTTTCAAAATATCAAAGTGATTTCCGACCAATTCATAAAATACTATATAGAACGAAAAATCCCAATTGAAACATGATCGGACGTTAAGACGCTATATGCAATAGCTGGTCGATGTTGCCAAACAGGGGGCAGCGTCTGGAATTAATGTTTCAAACACATACCTTGAGACAAAGGGGAGAATAGATGGAGCCCTACACTTGATCCTCCCGCACTATTTCCAAATATGGTTATGAGATCAGGGTCGCCTCTGAATGCTCCAATGTTGTCCTTTGTCCATTGTAAGGCCAATAGTTGATCATACAAACCGTAGTTTCCCGAGAGAGAGTTTTCATCGGTGAAGAACCCTAAACATGTTAAACAAGTCGTATTTTTAATTCCAGGGCTGCAGTAATTGCATTTCGTTCAGTGAACGACACGCACACATCCAGAATTATGTATTTTTATATACCCCATATGTATTCTAGGTGCTCATTGGCTTATTCATGGTCACATGATATGAAATTGATGTACTAAATCCCTGGGAACGGGGAAGATGATATGTACTCATTACCAGTTAGGTCATGTGAGCAGTCATTGGTACATTTTATCTTCCCTGCCAGTTGTGATTTACAGGAGTTGAATGGCAAAATGCCTTCAAATGCCAATAAGAACCCGTAAGCATTAAATGTTGAAATCTAGATTTATGATTTTGTTCTTAGTTTACAGAGTACATAATTTTGTGGAGTATATAATAAAACAAATAGTGACTGCCACATTTTAGGGAAATAGTGTAAACATTTCCTGTCCACTGACATGTTCATGTCAATGGACAGGATATTTTGCACTATTTCCCTAAATGGCAGTCACTATTTGTATAATATAATAAACTATAGAGGGCGCTATTGGCCCTAGATATATATTTTTCATAGAAATAGGTTTTTACATCTATTGGTACTTCCCTGGGTACAGTTATTCCTCAATAAAGTACATGTCTGTGATACTCTGTGATGTCTGTGATATAAATTATACTTCTTGTCTTTTCTGAGGCATTAAACAATCCTATTGATTTACTGAAGGTTGATATAAAAATTTACTTTCATGATATAAAACAAATATTCAGTATGTTGTCATAATTGATTATATTCCATATAGTATCTTGTACAGCCACAAGGACGTTGACCAAACTGCCATATCACTTCCAAAATAACCCCGATCTATAGTTTGTTGTTACAAACCTACATCAATCTATACTTGATTTTACAAAGTTTATCATGACAAAACCCACACCAGTCTGAGTCAGAACCTCCCTAATGTTCATGCCTTCACTTACGAAAAACCAAGCGGCCCACACCACACCGGTCTTCTGCCAGAAATTATGTGGGGTGTACATGGGCTCACTTATTAAAGAACCCCAATCTATAGTTGATATATAGTAACAACAGCCACACCGGTCTGCGCCAGGAACTCTGTAGTGTACATGTGTTCAGTTACCAAAGAACCCCAATCTATAGTTGTTGGTAACAACAGACCGGTCTGTGCCAAAACTCTGCACATGGTGTACATGTGTTCACTTACCAAGGATTCCCATTCTATAGTTGATGGTAACAACAGCCACACCGGTCTGCGCCAGAAACTTTGTGATGTACATGTGTTCACTTACTAAAGAACCCCAATCTATAGTTGATGGTAACAACAACCAGACCAGTTTGCGCCAGAAACTCTGTGGTGTACATATGTTCACTTACCAAAGAACCCCAATCTATAGTTGATGGTAACAGCAACCACATCGGTCTGCGCCAGAAACCCTATGGTGTACATGTGTTCACTTACCAAAGAACCCCAATCTATAGTTGATGGTAACAACAACTAGACCAGTTTGCGCCAGAAACTCTGTGGTGTACATGTGTTCACTTACCAAAGAACCCCAATCTATAGTTGATGGTAACAGCAACCACATCGGTCTGCGCCAGAAACTCTGTGGTGTACATGTGTTCACTTACCAAAGAACCCCAATCTATAGTTGATTGTAACAACAACCACACCAGTCTGCGCCAGAACCTCGCCGGTGTACATATAACCACTTCCACTGGAATACGAGCCTCCGTGAATGTAAAACATCACTGGATATTTAGCTGCGGGATTACCCGCCTGAAACATAGCATTTACAACTTGAAATCTTAGTACAAGTATATCAAATATAAAGGAGTTGAAATACAATTCAATCTGTGTCTCTAGTCATAAATTAATACTTATATTTTTCTTGGAGGAGGGATTTATGAATGAATGATTTCAATATTGGGAATATAAGGCTACCATTGTACTGGTGGCATACTTTTTTTTCAAAATCAGATCACGAAAAAAAGGAGATTTGACATGATAAGGTTCATTGCAAGATCATGGAGACTGCCCTTGATCGTATATAAATCGAAGCTTTCTGTATGGGAACATGTTAGCCATAAGAGATTAAGAAATTGATAAATAGAAAAATGAAGACCGAACGGTTTTATCACCGGTTATTTGACAAAGGTTGATAGGTATGAGACATTGCGAGAATGTGCTTAAAATACAAGTCCCATTATAGTAAGTAGAGATACCCTTTCACATTGAAACTTTGTTAACTCATTTGAAAGTATCTTGTAGTAACCAATGGATTGTTTAATAAATATCACTTGTAATTTTCCACATTTTACTATTTCAATCTGTTTTATAGATTCTAGATTTTCTGAACTCAAATATGATTTTGAAGAAGTATATGATTATTAAACTACAACGAAGGCGAAGTGTATGATCTATCTTATTGTGTTTACCTCGAATGGTGAGTGAACATTAAGGATTAAGCAATCTTCGTCCATGTCCCACCCACCTTCCACCAAGTATTCCGTGTGGGGCTGTGGACAAACAGGACCGGGGAGTGTTGCATTTTTGATACCCTGCCATACAGCTGCAGTGTCTGGATTCTGTAGGAAAAGAATATTTGAGGTCTTGCGAGAAGGTCCAAATCGCACAATTGATGATTTTCGTACGAGCACAAGAACATACATACTACATGATTGTTCTTTAGAGCCCATGATTTGTACAATAATGTAAACATACGAATGATTCTCAAACACACTTTACTTTCTCGTAAATGCTTTAAAAGGAGCAGACAAAAATTCATTACACCATATATTCGACTAACATTTAAATGACTAAAAGTGAAGCATATTTATCAGAAATACTCACAACTAAAAAGCTATTTACGTCCATTATATTATGCTGATCAATGGGAGAGAAAAATCACACGGGCGCACGGTATTGTCCATACACGATTCTACATTGAGTTTCCCCCGAAATTAAAAACTCAAAGAAGATGAGGGATGGCTCACTCAACATTAAAGAGAACAAGTCATCCAGATTTCTATTCTGGACAATCAGTAATGTCTCAATATAACTGCTCATAAAACATCATATATACGGTACCTTAGATATATATCTTGGAACCAAATCATAAGCACGATATCACCAATATATTGAGGATCTCAACAGGACAACCAAAAGAACAACCAACTGTCAGAATTGAACGCAATAAGTCGAAAACAGAATACAATGTTTTTTTGGGGATTTATCTATATTGTAGCCCCTTAGAAGTAATAAATATGGCTTCTCTGAGCCAAAATAATCTGAAGGAAAAAGCCAATCAGACTGGAACAAATTTGAGCGGGCTTTTTAAATTTAAATTTGAATTTCTATCGATGTAAGTGGAAATTCATTGATAGGAACAATCATCGAATTGATACTGTTAAAGAATTAATTCAAGCCTCAGAATTGACAAGTTGATAAACAAACTTGTTTTACATCAAATAACACGAAAAAATCAGGGGGTTACTCTAATTGTGTTTCTAGGAGACCCGATCTCTTTAAAATAATGAACATTATATATCTATTTGTCTACTTATTTCGATTTACTCTTTTTAGATTTTTAAACAAGAGCACCATGAAAATATGTCGACCATCTGAATTGTAGGGATCTAGAATTAGAAAACATATCAGCCGCCGAATTCCAAAAATGGATGTACAGGATGTCCATTAAGTCTCTTTATAATCACATTTACAAAGTCTGTGTAAAATGTAGAGACTGTATAATATAGAAACCTGGTATATTGAAAAATGTTACCTACCCTGAATCTGTGTTCTTCGACTGGAGGTCTAGCGTATGGAATGGCAAGGTAGGCGTCGATGACGTTAGTTTTACTGGACTCTGAAAAAAACATGAAACATGTTTAAAAGTTTTCACACTAGTTTTTAAGATTCCTTTATTGAGAGACAGGGAAACGATAGGGAATAACGTGTGATAGAAAGTAAGAAAGAAAGGGAGATAGCGGAGCCATATATTTACATGTTCATTGTTCGTATAGGTAAACAGATTGAGACGATATGAAAATGAATGGTATCCCTTAAGGGGATTGTCCGGAGTTGTATTCGTATTTGGTGAAATTGTAAAATGTAAACGATGGGTCACTGTCATAGTGGTGAATACAGTGGACACAATAAAGAGGCGTAATCAGTATCCAAAAAGGATAGGCAATAGATATGCGAGGCAAAATTAAGCCAAAGAGGTGATGATAAAGATGATGTATACTATGTGTGTAACCTAAAGGCAATTAATTGATTGCTCTCGTAGATTATTTGTAATTACTCGGGGAAAATATCGACGAGTGTATTAGTAAACAAACAATTCCTTTCACGAATTATTTCATGACCATGAAACCTTGGATAAATGGCCTCTCTTGCAACATTGAATTGACTAGTTGTTAAGTTAAGCAATTGTTTCAGCTTTTGTTATTTTCAGAAAGAAGGCTTGTGTCATAGTCTATCAATAGGATAATATGTTAGGTATATAAGACTACTGCGGTTGGAGTGTTTTGTGGAGTTATCTACCACTTCTGAAGGTATTATGTACCACTTAAGATAATTATCTGATGTAACCAGTTCCACTTGGGCTTTGAATCAGTTGAAAATATTTCTAATGCACACGTGTTAAGTGCAATTGAATTAAATGCAACACACAGAAAACCCCCATATGTAAAATCTCATAACCCATAAAAGTTGATATATAATTAAAAACACAGATGATTTGAGGAAACTTCTTAATTTCATAGATAAAAGAGATCCCCAGTAAGTGATCCTTTCATCTTATGGAAAAGCTGTAACAACAAACGCCTGTTCTGACAATTCATCCACAAGTGTTCAAATTGTTTTGAAACGATACATACTGTTTTTATCATAGTTTAAATGTACAACAAAGACCGAAATATTTTACAATATTTTTTTTCACAACAATTCCGAGTCATGCCTAATTTCAATAGTAATAAACAATTCTGACTTAATCGCATAATAATTCTTTGATTTAAAGGTTAGTTAAAGTTAGAGGTGGCGCACTTTTCAATTCTTTGGAAAATTTTGCATATTATTCTTCAATAACTTCTACATTTGATATCACAATTCAAATATAGTTAATGATAATAAGTCAGGGCTGAAAGGAAAACTATGACATATTTTCGGAAATAAAAGGTATTACTTAAAACAATTTACACATCTGTCATTTGCTGCTTTTTAATATAAGCTTGCTTCTAGTTTCAAACTCTGACATTTTCTGATACGATTATTGATGACGTAGATGTAACCGTCAAAATAAAAACGCTCTGGCGCAAGGTCACACAGTGGGGGTGACCAATACGATTACCGCAATATTTCCCAATTTTCCAAAATGGCGTGGAATCTTTGTAATTCGATGTTGCTGCTGATTAGGGAAATGTTGTTATCAAGTATGGCCTTTGAAAAGCTCGTTATGTATCTACATATGCATCGTATATTCCTAGGGCATAATATGATTGTAGTAGAGTCACTGGGTTGTATCGGCAAAAATCACTGGACAAAACCCGTTTAGACAGTTTACTGCATCTTGGATTTCCAAGGTATGATGTGTTCATATTGAAAATCAAACTGGGAAACGAGTATGAGTTTACTGGGCGTCGTGCTTGTATAGCCCAAGTCTTTCTCGTGTTTCAAATAATCCAGGTATCTAGGTTTATATATCAATTTATATCTTTGGGGTCGTAGTCATGCAATTTCTTTTTAAGTATCCGTTTTAATACATCCCTGCCCTGGGGTTATCGATCTTAGGGGGAATTATAGAGTTTATCCGGTAATTACTAAAATTATCGTGTATTTTCAGGATTAATGTTAGTGAACTACAGATGATGATCTAAATTAGAGAAAATCTCTTGTCTTAACAACACTGATATGTCAATCAAACTATTGTTACTTCATAGAGATTCCTTGGGTCAATGCCAATATTTATTTATTACGCGTGATATGCCAATGAAAGAAAGACGACACGTTCTGTAATATAATCCACAGATCGTTTTGGATATTGATTAATTAGCTACAGGAATTAAGTGCAAACATAACTTTTTCTACGATTATAGATCTAGAAATGATCAGAATTATATCAAAGAGGCTTATTTAAGGAGTCATCATTTGGTGTACAATATCAAATGAAGATGCATACCTAATACCCTGCATGCAGAGTCTAGTTAAACTACTTCTAGTTGAAGGCGAAGCTCTCTTTTAAGAAGTGAAGTCAAACGAATGCAAAGGGTACATACCTAATTTCTATACAAGATGAGACAAAAACACCACCTACTAATTTTGGAATAAGCATCTATATCCTTCGATCAGATTTAGAGATATCACGGTTTCCATCCAGGAATGTTCTTGGTGAAATCATCAAAAATGTTCGTAAATACAATTTTCTGAAATCAGGATTTCTGCCATTATGTTGAGTCATTTCTGTATAGATTTCACTATGTTACGTATGTGTTATCAATAGTATGTAATATCTACCCACTTTTCAGTATATTTTTGTCAAATTCGATGAATTGACTTGCGTATTGGGTAAATTTTCTAAATTACATTTTTGAGTGATTTTGTTTCAGAGCATGCCTACACGGATAATGAGATAACTTTTAATTTCCAAGTTGTTAATGCTACGCAAACATACCAATCTTTTTTCCATTGAACACTTTATCTACACATAAAAATCATGAAGATTCCTCAATTGTTGAGAGAGTTATTCCAAATTTAAAACATGGGTGTTTTTGTGTCACCCTGTATTTCGGAATTCATTACGTATCAAAATTCACGAGAAGTGTTTCGTAAGACCAATTTAGTTTATTTATATTAATGTATAAACATGAAGGCCTTATCACTAAACATAAGCAACAAATAATACCCAATATAATTCCAGATTACATAAAGAAACAATGTTGAAGCCCCTTTCAGGAACCATTATTACAATCTAAAGATAAGATGGTATGGATATCACTCATACTGAACAACTTCATACATATTGAGAAACAAAAAGTATTTTCTTAACATTTAATTCATACATTGATTAACTTCATGATACACTTAAGACACTTAATATACACGTAACCAATAGAATTTCTGTCATTTATATCTTGGAAAACTACATTTCAAATATGATCAGAGACGTCTTCTATAATGATAATAATTAGCCTTCAAAAGAGATGATCTATGTTTTTATGCATGCAAGGTAAGCATTTCTGGGCCTTTAAAGAATATTTCAATATCATTTCGTTTATAAATATAATTATATCACCAGAAAAATAACGCTCAGAAACTACTAGACATCATGAGAATTCATGGACTTTCTACAATGTATGTTAAGCTAGCCATGAGTGAGTTTAACTACATTCGAGTTAACCCATGTTTTACTGAAAATGTACCTTCCAATTAAATCAATTATACAGATCAACTAAGCAAATTCTTTTTAATAAAAAGGAAGATGTGATGAGTATGAGAATGAGAATAGTTCCAAGATGATCAAAGCCTAATACACGGTAAATATGCATAATATTTAATACGCCACTTGGAGGAGTTTTAGAACATCCTTCAAGGTCAATTCCTAGGTCATGCTATTCCGAAGTGTTTGTTTAGCGCTACCCAAGTAACTGTTGAAATCAGACAGCGATAAGCATTTCACTTTTTGAAAGATTAATATACAACGCTTATGAGGTGTTAAAGGCTCATTAATAACTTCCCTACACCACCATATACTAGTATAGTAAATCGCTTTAAAGGCTTATTATTCATTGATGGCTCCCAGATTTTGCAATAAGAACCTCAATGTCGGTTGACGGCTTATTATTGACCCTTCTAATTACTTAATTGCTTCACCTTTTCCTTTATCGTTTACATCCGGTAGAAGTTTCTCAAAAATATAAGTACTAACTCTACCAATTGATAAGATATCACGGATCTACTGGGAGGCTACATTTGAGGAAAGCTGAATAAATAGATGTCAGGACTTGTTTTTAATTGTTTTGATTGGGCCAGACTGTCATAGGCTCCATTGGTAAAAACTTGAAATTGTCACTTAATGTCTTGATTTATCAAAAGTGTTGTTTAAGTCTGTCTAAAACATGATATGGTTCGACCTTGTAATGTACATTTTGATTGATAATGAAAAGTTCGAGAGTTTCAGTGTAGGCTTTAATTATAATATTTGCGAATTCAAGCATTGTAGTTGATTGTGATGCATTCAGTGTTGCTGGAGCAACAATCAAAAGGCAAACTGAATAAATTGAATTCAGACATTTTACACTGTATTGAATCAAACAAGGTAATTCTATTAACTGTCTCCACTGCCCCTAGACTTCAATTTGCCATCTAGGTATAGATCTTATAAGGGAACACTTGGATCATGCTTGGCAAGACAGTCAAATGCAATTTAAAGATATATGGTAACGAATTGGCTCAGTTGTTCTTGCTAATCGTACGCACAAAGCGTTTCTGTCAGCAAATTTATTATCAATTATGTTGTTAGAGGAGACAAATGTGATGAGACCAAATAGTCAGACCGTTTTGCCAAAGGCATCCCTAGAGCAGTTTTATTCGTTTTTAAACATTGCCGATTTAATTTGTGCCTTCCTCTAATAGGAAACCAAAGTGTCCTCCGTGAAGTACATATTGACGTCTTTATGAATCTACGTAGCTCATTGATAGAGAAACTTGAGAAAGGCCACACTGTTGGAAATACGAGAGCATCACTGAAGGATCTCAGGCCTCTCAGACCACTAACTCAAAGAACACAAATCTCCAGTTTGTTCGATATCGAGTATCATTTCCAAGGTGCTAGAAACGTTTTTAGGAAAACTTCGTATTTAGTCATTTGATATAGCCTATGAGGGAACCCCCTGGCTTATACAAACCAACAAGACGATCGTTTTTATTTTATCTCATCTTCGAAAGAAGATTTGTACTTTATGTTCATAAGCATGTCATGGTGAATAATCATAGCCTCGTTTGTTAAAGAAACTGCAGTTTAATTAATAGGCTGTATACTATTTTCATACAGCGATAGATCAGAAAGGCCCTTGCACGTTGATTGTCTGTTTTGTGGAATATCTTTAAAAATGAACAAATGACTATTTATTTCACTTCACAAGTACTGTACATTCCTGAGGTCAACGTTGCAATCAAATATTATCGCGCAAGATCACGGCTTCCAACTGTTTCTTTTTGATATTGTTAAGCTAAAAACAGAAAGATGAGAATCAAAATGATCGACTAGATAAACATCACAAGTCAGGAACGTTGGCATCAAGGACTATTCCCACTTGCGTTCATATACATACAAGTGATCCTCCTTTGCAGCCATTTGAAACCTGCCAATGTAAGGAAAGCATGACAAAGATAGTTTACCTTTGATCTCCTATTGTTATGTTCTCGTTATTGTGCCGTACATTTCCACAAAGGCCTACTTTTTAATTTGTACCCCTCATTTTGGTATTTCTTCCCATCCGTCAACAATTGAAAAATACCATAAAATTCCAACTCCGTTACAGGCATAATGGCTTTTCTCATTACTGTTAACTAAATCTCAATTTATATTCCCGACTGGCTTATTGAACAAATCAAGTTAAGCATTTGTAAGAACACCAATAACACATGATACACACTCCGTACTAATGTATCGCTTTTTAAATGCCTACTAAACGTAAGATAAAACTTCATTGATTTGTCGCTAATAAAAATAATTCTAAACGCGTGCTACAACGTGAAGAGTTCGACAAATATAGAATTTGAACAGTCGTGGGATACGCTCTCTAGGGTAGTGTTCCTCGTAAATCGTATTAGTCCGTATTTTACCAATTTTAAAACATTAATTTGATGAATTGGCTCTTGTCATGGGCTATGTACCTATTAGACGTTAAACTGCGTCATTTTACTCGTTCAAATGTCAAACATGGCGTATAATGTGAAAATATCTCGACTCAGATTTAGAAGCAATTATGTGTTGAATCTAAAGGGTCCCATTACAATTCCTATTTGGAGAGACAACGACGTTGACGGCGTTGAGCCACCCACGCCTCGTGACAAAGGAGGGTGTCATGGTACGACATCCACCAATCATAAGACACGGTTCCATCGCGACCTTGAAGTGGGTCATAATTGGGGAGGTCTGGGAAAGGTGGTGCTCTGGCGCTGAATACGCAGTTAACACGTGAAAGTGTCGTCAAAATGAAGTAGGGAATTTTAAACACCCCCTCACACTTCTCAGTGAGTGATTAATAAGATGATCTAACCCGTGAAATTCGTGTAAACCGATTGACTTAAAAATTGGTCTAAAATACCCATTTCGGCCTCACTTCCAAAAATTAGCCTAATTTGAAAAAATTACAACTTTGAGATAAATCGACCTGAAAATTAAAGGTCAACTAGATGCATTTTTATTACAAAGATTATAGCTAGACTTTTCCCCTTCGCGTCTTTTGCTCTTTAGTACGTAATACAATTGTAAATCGCTTTTCGAAGATTTACTTTCTGTTAATGTATGACACCTGGGAATCACACGCAGTAAGTGTTTCAAGGTTTATTCAATCTAATACTTTACTTACACCGTGAGCAGCTCTAACCATGAGCTTTTTCAATATCAATTTTGCCACTTTTCGCCGATTTTTCACTTTAAATTTATCATCCCGCTAAATAGTGTAATGCTTAGTTTGGGGAATTGCATGATTTGTGTTATAATGTCAGAGTGCTATTTTTGAAAAATGAGGTGAGATATATTTCGGTTTGGGTTTTCCTTTTTTACATAATAACAACCGTTCTTTCGATTATAAAAGTGAATACCAGAATATAAACTAAATTCATAAAATAAAATAGTAGTAAAATATCACCATTGCAAATAAAATACGAACCGAAGTTATCGTTTCGTGTAATCCTGACTCCTTCTAGTTTCCCTTGTAACACTTCTGTTCTCACAGGTTCCTTTGTTGCGTATGCGTACGCATACATAACCAGCCCCTGCGTTATCAGCGTGACGAGCCCGCGCCATGGTCTCCAATTCATCTGAATTTGGGACATTTCCTTTCAATCCAGCGGGGCGATCGCTGTTGTACTTAACGAAACGGGTCCTAATTAGCCCTACAGATTGGAAGCATCACACTTCATGGCAATAGCCAAGCCAGATTGCTATTCCTCTAATTGAAAGCACCTTTCTTTGCATCTATACATATATAAGCAATTATGTTTTGAGATTAGTACAGTGATGTAAGTTTTTATCCCTGCAGTCCTTCACTGAGAAGTGAACAAGTGAAAGCAAAAGATGTTAGTCCGCTTGATTGTAGATTCCACTTGTCCATTCCCCGTCTCAGCGCCGTACTAGAAGCGATAGCTAAGCGGCAAGCAGCAAGAGACTGGAACAATTTTGTACCACTACCACTTGTAAGCCAATCCAATAGCACATCATACGAGGAGCGTAGAAAAACATCGGATAAATCATGATTTTACAGCTAAAAGAGGCAGTGCTAGTTAGAGGGGGCAATTTTGGTAACTCTATAAATATTTTGCATTGGTCGGTGTGGTTGATGCCAAGCAAATACAAACTGCCGAATTTTGATCCGTATGCAAAATAAATATCTAATTAGATGAAAGATACAAACCCATTTATTGTTCATTTTAGGGTTGAAGTCGTCAGAGTACTCAATTGTTTTAAAAAACAGTGTCTAGAGGCATTTTGAATTGGGGTACTCCCAATATGTAAGCAGTATCATATGAGAAAAATTCCCCAAAGAAAACACTGACGAGAAAAACATTGAATCTTATTTCTCTCTTTGTACAGTGTGTCAAATAAATATGTTCTCCAGCTCAATTTTCATCTTGATTCTCAAGGTATTAGTTGCTCCAACTTCAGTGTTATAACCACTTGGAATTCGAAGATGCTCAATTTTAACATCCACTAACTTTTTTTGTCTTTATGATATCTGCATGAATTTTTCTTTAGTACCTTAAAACTAGGCTCCATGGAGCAACTCTACGAGAAGTTTTGACTAGCTCAACTTTGTGCACTTTTATGCACAAAAGTTCATACTCTTGAAATCAAGGGGGAGAACGACTATGTACACCCTGTATAAAGAGTGAAGGTGTAATTGTTTGTGTTGTTTAACGAGACTGAACAAACAAGTAAGCAAGACATAGGCTTGGCTCTTCTGTGTCCTCAAATGATTTTAAAACAAACAAATCATTTTACCAACACCATATTGTCTTACCTCTCTACATGCACTGTGCAGCTAACATTTACAAAACAAGACACTGCGTGTATTCCAGATACGAGTCACCGGTATAGATCTATTGCACGTGTCTTACAATTATAAATGTGATACACTTGCTTGAAAATCACCAAATATAATAGTTGTTATGTATTGAGTGGTTTTAGATATAGGATTTGTCCAATGGGAGAAACACATATTTTAAATGAAACAAGCAAAATAGAAAAAGTAAATAGTACCATAGGCACTGGGCTCACATGTTTCCTAGAGGTTTTATTATTTTAAAATAGTATTGAACTTTTCCTCAAATATAGTTTTCTGGGTATTATTTAAATTTTAAAACCCAGATATTAGCGTGATTTTTCTTTACAAGAAGCCTCTAAACAGTGTCAATATTTGACAAAATTGGGCGTTTACATTTTGAAAAATAATCAAAGGTTAGTGTTAAACATTTCAACTCTGTCAGGGGATATTCTTAATATCAAATCATGGTATTGTGAATTATTTTGTTGTTCTTTTAATGAAATGAAGATTCCACTATGGAAAAGATGAAGGTAACGATATATAGTACTTTTGAAGTACAATCCCGGGCATTGCCTCGAGATGCGCTACCCATGCCTTGTACGTCCTCACCACCTATTGTTACATCACAGCTACATGAAAATACCAACATAATTAGTACTTTTATCAATAACTAAAATAACTACGATCGTTTCTTTGTTTCTCCATGCATGATCTACAAATAATCTCTTAATTCAAACTCTGTATCGAGGGTATAAATATAGAAGGTTTCTGATATTTTATTTAGTGGGGACTTTGTAACAATAATCGCATCCGACAATCGATGAAAATCTGATTTCCTGAGTCCGGAGATTTTAAATAGATAAATCAGCTCTGCTCAATGTGTCATTGTTTTGTTAAAATACTCAATGTCGGGAAATAGCACGAAATGTAAGTCTTTCTTTAATCAAAACCATTGATTAATCCAGCAATCTTATACTCTCTTCGCAAAAAAGGTTGTATTTTGGTTGTTATTCGATATGTTAGTTCTAAATACGATAGCGAAGAAATATAAATTAGCCAGTCATTCTGGAGACATTTTCTTTATTTTCTATCTTTTTTATGTCTAATATTCTTAACTTCAAATCGATATTTTTACATGGTCATTTTTAGGAATCAGAGGAACGTCAACCTTGGTTGAATCATATGGTGATCTTTGCAGGTAATTTGTCTCACCTATCTTAGATTCCCAGGCTAGGCCCCTATATACGACACGCCCAAGGTGGATTGGCTCCCAGGGTCCCAGCAACTCTATATTTTTAATCTAAAAACATTTTGTTTTAGTGCTTTAGTACAAATAAACTGCGAAGAGAATGGCTGATATTCTAATGACCTTGACCTTTATCGACTACAACATTGCAATGTCGTTATTTTCTGATATCATAATTGACTATAAATTCATAATAAGCAATCCAAAAGATTTGAACTAATATAACACGTGCGAAATTTTTGTAAGGAAATAAGATCAAAACTCCGGGAAAACTCGCGATTCAAATTCTGAAGTGAAAAAAGGCGGCTGTTTGATCTTGAATTTTGTAATCTCAACATGACTACAAAAATGGCAGAATATCGAGTTGGAACTCTGGGATTCAATCCCCCATGTGACACGCCTATTCTTATACCACCAATAATTACCGATTTGAAATGTAACTTTAGCGCGACAAGGCCCTCGCCCACCAAACAAGCCTGATTAAACGTTCTAAATCATGTTGGCATCCGACAACACCACGGTCAGTCACTTGACAATCATGTTGTATCCTTGCCTACTCCTCCTCGAAAGAAATATTGACGAACTTCTCTGGCATCAATATATTGTTTTGCGTCTCTCAATCCAGGTGTTTTGTTTAATTATCTTACAAATTGCAAACTAAGATGCGCCCGGATACGATCTTTGACTCTATAGTCACTAATCACGCATCCATGTTGCGGAAACCGACAGTAAGCTGTTGGAAAAAATGTATCATCTCTACCATGTAAATATGTATTCCGCCAGATCAGCCTTGGATTTCTGACACCGCTGAAAGGGACTTGATGGATGTCCTCTATTAGTGTAGCCTGATTGGGATTAAATCAATGTTGTCGTTGTTAAAATCATAGCCTTACAATTAAAAAATATTTATATGTACTACGCAAACATGGAATTTAAAGCACAAGATTTGTCATCAGTAAAATCACAGTTAAACTTTCCAAACTGAAGACAAAACTAGCTGTACAATATAAATTGATTATTTATTCTATTTATTATAACAGACATAACTGCCAACCTACCGTATTTTTACGGGAATCTAGCGTAAAATTTTTGTTTTTCCGTAACAAAATGACAAACTAACGTATAAAAATTAACCGTTTTTTCCCCGAAAAACGACCGTAAAAATCTACCGTAATTTTACCGAAATCTACCGTAAAATATTTTATTATAATTCGATTTTTCTATAAGAACGGCCGTAAAATATACCGTTAATATTTGAAAATCTACCGTATTTCTGCTAGAATTAACAGTATTCTTGTTCAAACTATCGTAAAATCTACCGTTATTATTTGGAAATTCTGAAAATTGAATTCTTCTCGTATTGCCCTTGTAATATTCCATTACCAACCCGAAAATAAATAGGTGTCGGCAGGTCTGTGACAATGGTTATTGCGTACTTAATTAGTAAGTAACTAAGTAAGCTGGCGTGTAATCAGTCAACACACTGCATGGGGAGTATCGCAATGCAAAAACACAGTGTCCAACTACCACAGGTTCTACTATAAACACTGAAGTGTTCAAATTGTAAGTCTGTTTAAGAAAGAGTTCCATGCATGCGGTGTTAGAAAAACATACTATATCATTTATTCATTGAAGTGTGTCAAAATCTACGCAAAAACTACCGCATTTTTTCAAAATCTTCCGCAAAAACTACCGCATTTTTAAAAAATCTACCGTAAAACTACCGCATTTTTTCAAAATTTTCCGCAAAACTACAGTTTTATCAAAAATCTACCGTAAAAACTACCGCATTTTTTTCAAAATCTACCGTAAAACTACCGCATTTTTCAAAATCTTCCGCAAAACTACCGTTTTTCAAAAATCTATCGCAAAAACTACCGAATTTTTTCAAAATCTACTGACAAAATACCGTATTTTACAAAATCTTCCGCAAAACTACAGTTTTTCAAAAATCTACCGTAAAACTACCGCATTTTTCAAAAACTTCCGATAAAGTACAATTTTTTCAAAAATCTACCGCAAAAACTACCGAATTTTTTCAAAATCTGCCGCATTTTTGGGATCAACTGGAAACGAAAAACTAAACAATAATTAAGGATTTAAGCCATGAACTCTGTGCATTGTGTGCTGAACCATTCCACAAAGATGTTGTTGTTCCACAAATTTTGCATGACCCCGCAGGGGGAATGCACAGTTTAATAAACAACACCTGAGTGGAATGAAGCAGCTACAATGCATTGAGTCTTGGGCTTAAATTCTTTTCACACATTGCAAAATGTTTTCTATAAAATCACCTAAAAGATACAAAATCACTAAATGAACATATTTTCAATGAAACTTTTTGCAAGGGTCAAGTATTGGTAAACTCATTTCAATCTCAATCGCTTATATAACAACTGTAGACAACAAATGCGTTATTGATATTTCACACACTGTTCATTATGTGAATACTCTGTTCGGATTGGTTGGAATCGGACACCTTGCTTGCACCTTGCTTAGCTATGTGTGAAAATTGAATTAACTCACGTTAATGGTAAAGTTAAAGTTTAAAGCTAAAACTCACCACGAGAATGACAAAATATCGAAATATTCTTAATTCTAACGGAGAATAGCAACCCTCAAAATAACAATAGTATTACATCATAAAACTCCCTTTATAGGGTCACATCGTCAGCGAGCATCATTTTACTTGATCCACCCCATCATCATTTTACTGCAATCACTAATCTTTAACTGATCAGGTGACATACCTTAGTATTACCAGCCATTTGGAGGTAAACTCCCTCAAAACCAGGGGAACTATTTAATGGTTAAAAGATAAAAATATGAAAAAGTATTGCAAATTACCAGATATAAAACAGAAAAAAGACTCGATATTTTAAGTTGATTAAGACGTTTTGGATTCAGATACACTGTAGTTCATCAACATTCTCGATTAGTGAATCAATACGACGATGTTTGAAATTTTGAACGTGGGTAACAACCAAAGCATGGAACAGGCCTGGAACATATTTATCGTATTGTAATTGAACACGTTGTAAGCAGATGTGCTTGATTAATTTCATGACTTTGCAATTCCACGTAACAATTAACTACCTAGATGTTTATGGACTTGAGGAATTCCATGCTGTAATGGGTGAGAGGAGGACGAATCGTTTAGAATTCTCCTTGCAACAGGTTTGGGAATTAATATGATGATATAGCCTGTTTAATCCAACAACTTCAATTAAAATGTTATGTGAAAATACAAGTATTTAACCTCCAACTGCATGGCGACTTCATCTGTTTAAATATTAAAATCACAAACAGAACATGTTTCTTAATACTTATTGAACGACTTGTAACGTACAGGCACTTTGAAGCAGAGCAAACCAAAAAAACTGATACATCCTAGAGATGATCCATGCTTGGAATACTCCATATAACACTTGACACTATTTCTTAAAGTATGTTTTATTTATCAAACATAACACTGCATCGTGTGCTTAAAAATAAAGTATCAATTTTCGAAAACTTGAACTTAGTTATCACAATGTTTAGGTATAGGCTGTCAAATAAATGGAAACTCTATATATTACAAGACTCTAAATCACAGTGCTTTATGTGTGTTCAAAGAGATAAAAATATATCATATTGATAATTAAGAACATGTAATGTATGGTAAAATACCTTGTGTATTATATTTCAAGCTAGCTTCTTGGTTTTATACTCCCAATGTAGAGATATTGCCATATTGATAACTGATAACTGAATGATGCCGCTTCACTTGAAATCCACATTTTTAAGAAAATACATTCACCAAGTTTGACAACCTTAATTTTCCGTTAGATTTCATGTTCTAGCCTCTTTAACTTTGCCCATAAGCTGGAAAAAAACTCTTTTATCTTCACCCTCTCCAATATCAACTTTCCTATCTGCTATATTATTAGTGTGTGAGTAGATTTGTATATTGGGGGGGGGGACTACATTTTGGGTTCCGATATATATTCGAATTTCATCTTTTTCTCTTTTAATTTATTAAATACATTATGTATTGACATACACAAACCATTTAATCATTATTTATAATTGGATCCGAGTGGACTAATTGTTTTCGCAAATATTTATTCTTGGTTCCAAGTACTAATTGTTTGCGCGGACTTCGTTAATCCACGGTAGTGCAGCGGATACTTTGTTGATCATGCTGGGTCGTACCCCTGCTGGCCAATAGCCCCAACTTTGGACTCCTATCAGCGTCCACCTTCCGTCTACTTTAGTAACATGCGGTCCACCACTGTCACCCTTAAACGAATAAATCAAATATTGAGTTACATGAGGTGCATCACTGTCGCCCTTGAACGAATAAATAAAACATTGAGTTACATGAGGTGCATCACTGTCTCCCTTGAACGAATAAATAAAACATTGAGTTACATGAGGTGCATCACTGTCTCCCTTGAACGAATAAATAAAACATTGAGTTACATGAGGTGCACCACTGTCGCCCTTGAACGAATAAATAAAACATTGAGTTACATGAGGTGCATCACTGTCGCCCTTGAACGAATAAATAAAACATTGAGTTACATGAGGTGCATCAATGTCGCCCTTGAACGAATAAATAAAACATTGAGTTACATGAGGTGCATCACTGTCGCCCTTGAACGAATAAATAAAACATTGAGCTACATGAGGTGCATCAATGTCGCCCTTGAACGAATAAATAAAACATTGAGTTACATGAGGTGCAACACTGTCGCCCTAAATTAATTATTGCGTTACATGAGGTGCACCACTGTCGCCCTTGAACGAATAAATAAAACATTGAGTTGCACGAGGTCCAATTTTCAAAAATATGTTTTGGACGAGTATACTCGTCACCAGGCACCTAGGAAAAGCAAATCTTGTAAGTATACTCGTAGCGGACTGATAGACGCGATCGTCGATACTTACATCCCCAGCGTCTGTGCCATTTCCTCGCACACACAGCGTCCGTTCCTCAGAGCCAATGGCGTCGGGCAGCGTCTCAAGCCAGCACGTGTCGTAGTTGATGACTTGCATATTTGTATAGCGTTGTTCGGGTGTGGCAGGACCGTCTATATATTAAAACAAATGAATACCGTTTTAGCAGATATTATGGTACCCCATGCCCTGGAATATTAGTGTTCACCATTCGAATTGTTTACAAATGACTGATTAGTAAAAATGACTTTAAAACTTTTATATTTATTATCACAATCGCACAATGCCATCTTTTTATCATCCAAGCTTATTTTGCAATGCTAATAAAAATACAGTCATTGTAGAAAGTAATCGAGTTCGTTACTTCTCTCTGTGTTCCCCCAGCCACTGTGCGTTACAATGGTCCCAGTCCAGTTAGTAGCATCGTTGAGAGGCGGCAGGCAGGCAGGCCTCAGGTCATCATCAAAAGTTACATTCTGTGGTAGCTTGAACATTACAAGGTCGTTCTGAAAAAGCCCCTTATGTAGTGAATATATAGTTTCAGATCTTCCAAATTGAATAACTTAAGAATCTTAAACATATTGAACGTGTTAGCAAAACTGGAGCTGTTACGTTGATTTGATTTGAATATCATCACATAAAGAATGTTACGATTACCGTAACAAATATCTCTTTTGGTCTATGTGCAGCATGGCAAGTGATTTCAGACCGTCATAACTTTCACCATGAGTACTTTCTGGCCAGCAATACTGTGGTTTTTATTAAAACAATATGTTTTCTTTCAAGTGAAGTACCAATGATGATAAAAATATCAATCGAACAATCCGAAAACTTATGAATAGCGACCCCATGTCAACAATCTTTTCAAAATGTTGAACCTATTTACTCAAAAGAGGATCTTCTTTTTCTGATTTTTATGCATGAAAAGATTATTCAACAAGGGGTCTGAAACGTCTTCAAAAGTAATGGTATTGAAAATCTAGTTTTGAAGATATCAATTTTCGATGACCAAAATAATGCTGAAAACAATGGATAGCACGAGACTTCCCTATGGGAAAATAACATGGCAAATACGGTTTTTAACTTTAACGCATTTCAATACCTATCCCCTTTTCAGAATTCGAAAGTGTTAATTAATATAGTGTAGAAGAAACTTTCGATATGTTTAAATTGAGAAAACAAAATCCTCTTTTTAGAAAATAAACTTTACATTTTCAAAAAAGTGCCAAGGTGGGGTCCTAAACCGTAGTTTTTCAGAGAGTTGAAATGGTATTCTACTATCATGGGAATTTCACTTGAAAGAAGACATATTGTTTAATAGAGACCACTGTATTTATGTCAAGAAAGTACTCATGGTGAAAGATATGACCGTCTAAAATCACTTGCCATACTGGCCTTTATTGTCGCTATATTAATCAAATCGCACATATAAGTCTTGTATGTTAATAATTAAAAGATAACATTACAAGAAAAATGAAAATATGATAGGCTACAGTGATACTAATGAATCATGTTTACCTCATACGAGTTTGAGTCATATTCGGGGTGTCTAACAATAAGCTCGGGGACATACATGACGCCGTCCTCAGCACGATTGCCATTGGGGTCAGTCCTCACGTTGGTTTTTAGCCACAGTTGGTAGTCAGTAGGAGGGTCGTTGCTAGGAAATACAAGATGATGATTACAAGATAGAAGTAATTGTTTTTTTACAAACATTTTATCGCATCAAAAACTATTTATACAAGTATATGCCATACTTTGCGCATCATGCAATATTGCCCAACGCTAGTGATATATACATCCACGCATATACGCAATGCCAGTGCTAGCGACCCATCTCTTTTCTATAAGAGTGTTGTGTATACTCATGTATACACGCAATGCCTAGTGCTGACTCATCTGTTGTTTACAAGAGTTGTATATACTCACACATATACGAAATACCTAATAACTCATACGCTAATGACTCATCTGTTGCCAATAAATGTTTATGTACTTAAGCATACACGCAACGTCTAGCGCTAATTGTCTGTAAGAGTTTATATACTCAACTATACACATAGTGCCTAGACCTATTAACTCATCTGTTTGCTATAATGTTTATAAACTCACAGATACACGCATTGCCTAGCGCCAATAACTCATCTGTTGGCTATAAGAGTTTACTCACGCATATATATACGCAATGTCTAGCGCCAATAACTCATCTGTTGGCTATAAGAGTTTACTCACGCATATATATACGCAATGTCTAGCGCTAATGACTAAGATGTTGGCTATACTGTTCATATACTCACATATACACGCAAAGCCTAGCGCCAATAACTCATCTGTTTGCTATAAGAGTTTACTCACGCATACACGCAATGCCTAGCGCTAATGACTCAGATGTTTGCTATAATGTTTATATACTCACAGATACACGCAATGCCTAGCGCTAATGACTCAGATGTTGGCTATAATGTTTATATGCTCACAGATACACGCAATGCCTAGTGCCAATAACTCATATGTTGGCTATAAAAGTTTACCCACTCATATATATACGCAATGCCTAGCGCTAATGACTCAGATGTTTGCTATACTGTTTATATACTCACAGATACACGCAATGCCTAGTGCCAATAACTCATATGTTGGCTATAAAAGTTTACTCACGCATATATATACGCAATGTTTAGCGCTACTGACTCAGATGTTTGCTATAATGTTTATATACTCACAGATACACGCAATGCCTAGTGCCAATAACTCATATGTTGGCTATAAGAGTTTACTCACGCATATTATATACGCAATGTTTAGCGCTACTGACTCAGATGTTTGCTATAATGTTTATATACTCACAGATACACGCAATGCCTAGTGCCAATAACTCATATGTTGGCTATAAAAGTTTACTCACGCATACACGCAATGCCTAGCGCTAATGATTCAGATGTTTGCTATAATGTTTATATACTCACAGATACACGCAATGCCTAGTGCCAATAACTCATATGTTGGCTATAAAAGTTTACCCACGCATATATATACGCAATGCCTAGCGCTAATGACTCAGTTGTTTGCTATAATGTTTATATACTCACAGATACACGCAATGCCTAGTGCCAATAACTCATATGTTGGCTATAAAAGTTTACTCACGCATATATATACGCAATGTTTAGCGCTACTGACTCAGGTGTTTGCTATAATGTTTATATACTCACAGATACACGCAATGCCTAGTGCCAATAACTCATATGTTGGCTATAAGAGTTTACTCACGCATATATATACGCAATGTTTAGCGCTACTGACTCAGATGTTTGCTATAATGTTTATATACTCACAGATACACGCAATGCCTAGTGCCAATAACTCATATGTTGGCTATAAGAGTTTACTCACGCATATATATACGCAATGTCTAGCGCTAATGACTCAGATGTTTGCTATAACGTTTATATACTCACAGATGCACGCAATGTCTAGCGCCAATAACTCATCTGTGGGCTATAAGAGTTTACTCACGCATACACGCAATGCCTAGCGCTGATGACCCATCTATTGTCTATAAGTGTGCCCCCACAATTCTGCTGGAAGTTATTACCACTTCTCCAGTTCATCAATACCTAAAACACACACGTTTGCGCTTAATTTCCGCATTGCCTAACATACCTATGTAATACATGTTTGTGGTGATAAGTCTAACCTGATATGACGTTACCTACATCTGATGTTTTTGATAATTCATGGGGGAAAATATACCGAATGTTCCCCAATGTATGTACATTCAATTGCAAAAATACGTTTTGGGAATTTAAAACAAATCAACAAAATAACATCACAACACTATTCGTCCCGTTGAATTGATTTCAATGTGGTAAATATTATCGTTAACGTGTCGTCTCGCAATTTCAGTACACTATATCAACAATATAAATGCTTCGATGTTGCAACCATTAATGTACCATTCTTGTTTGACTGTATCGAATTTTAGGACTTTTGGGAGAATTGATGAAAATGCGTGGGTAACACTCCCGACATTACACTTTACTTACAGTCCACGGGAATTCATGTCTCCTGGAGATGATACCACCGACGATGTGCTCTGATGGATTACCTGATCCTCCTGAACCTGCATCCGGGTACTTACTGATCCCACATTCTGTCGAATGTTAAACAAATATTTAATCCTATTGATGTGGTTTGTGCATCTTTCACAAATGAGATTTTACGAAGCTCGAGAAGGGCTAGTGGAATATTTTTTTCTATCACTGTAAAGCTTAACATCAATGGTAAACATTGAAATACATTTATATTTCAAATAAAATTTATTTAAGATTGTTTTTAACGTATAAATGTACATATTGATGACCTACCAAGATTTGATTGAGCATAAGCCCAGCCATATAAGCATGCCAACAGAATCAAAATATTCATCCTTCAAGACATGAACATGCACCGCTTTTTGATATTATAAATAGGTCACTCCTTCAAAAACAAATTATTTAAAACAGAAGCGTGAGAAAAAACATATTGATCTGGTTCAAAAAATAAGAATGTGTCTACTAATTATTGGCTGGGTATAACGAGCATTTGGTTAATATTCAAGGACTCTGATAACGCTGATTGATTACAATGTCATTCTAAAAATCTGCTTTCTCACTGATTCAGCCCTCGTTTTGATTCCATCACTTTGACGACGGGCGACGTCTTGTTGTGATGCCAGTTAAGTAGCCGCAATAGGCCTATTCTAAAATTATAGCATAATCAGGCCCGTAGCCAGGATTTTCCAAGGGGGAGGGGGGGGGTCAGTTTTCAAAAATGTCCAGGGGGGGGGGTTCACATTAACAATTTTGGCTAATTTTTGGTCAGGGGGCTTCGCCTGAACCTTGCGAACCTCCCCCCTGGCTACGGGCCTGATAATCATTGCCATAGCCAGCAATATTGTCAAGGGGGGGGGGGCGATTTTTGGGATTTGCATCAGTCCGAGAGAAGTGAGTCCAAAAAGGGGATACGGGTAAATTTTACAAAAATTAACATTGTACATGGTGCGTTCTAAGCATTTCAGACTATAATTTGTTAATGTTTTTTATACAAATACAAAATTGCTTCTTTCTTTTCTTGTGTGTGTGTGGGGGGGGGGGGGGTCGCCAAAAGATGAAAGTAACTTTCAATATGTTTGCTCGTTCTTGATCATTCCATTCCATGCGCATTGCTACCACTTTAGATGCAACAATATTAACCCTAGAAGCCCTAAGGTAAAAATAGTCACACGAACACCTAAGGGGGGGTCAAAAGGGCACCCCCCTTGTAAAATTTTTATTAGTAGAGCTAGGATGTTCAAACTTTTTCCACATATACTTCATTCAATTATCTACAACTTGGTATAAAAGTTTTAACAACTACGATGATGTGAGATTGCGTAATTTTATTCTTAAGACAACACGTATCGTAGAATTAGTGCTAGCTTTTTTCTGATTTTGTCTATTGGAGCTGATGATGACATCATAATAAATAAATAACAAATTAGTAAAGCTAGGATGTTCAAACTTTTACCAAAATATACTTCATTCAATTATCTACAACTTGGTGTAATAACTTTAACAACTATGATGATGGAAGATTGTGTAATCTTATTCGAAAGATAACACATATGGTAGAAATAGTGCTAGCTTTTTCCGATTTTGTCTATTGCAGCTGATGATTACATCATAATAAATCAGTAACCCTATGTACAATTCTGCTGATTTTTTCAGAAAACATGTCTTATATCTGTAGCTTCAGCTACTGAAAAATTGAAGACCCTACCAGATGCCAATAAAAAGTTATAGGGAAAAAACTTCACAGGGGGGGTCATTTTGACCCCCCCTTAGGGCTTCTAGGGTTAATATGGTCCACCATTGGTTCAAGATGGTGCATGCAACATGCAACCAATTGAAGATCAGCGACACGATATGATACTAATCATTTCATTATTTATTTTATAAATGCATTGTTACATATATTTTTATGGTAAACGTTGTTATATTATATATTATTTTCATTTGTGTGAACATTTTATATACAATTAACTATAAATTGACAGCCAATCATTTTTAAAATTTACAAATTTCATGTCGGTCTATACAATTGAAAATACGACCCCTTTTAATTAACAAGTGTACAGTACACCATCTATATTTAGGTGAAAAGCATTTTTCGAGTAAGTTGATGATGTAGGAATATACCAGATTCATTATATAAATATATTTTACTGCAATATTACAATACAACCTACATATACAGTTTGACCCCTTAAATACAAGCACGATTGGGATCTAGCAAGAAACTTAGGGGTGCAACCTGGAAAAGTGGACATGGCGACCGATAGATGACGCAAGTGTTTAGTTACCGAAATCTGAGAATTTTGTTCAAGTTGCAGTTTAAGAGATTTAACTGTATAGTTTATATATTTGCTTTACATGTCGTTTTAAACATGGTCTACTATATTTTCGAGACGAGTATTCAGTAGAATAATTACAGTAATATACAGATTATGATAAAATATGCCGTTTTAACTCATACAACCCTTAATTAGAACACATCTCAATTCACAAGGTTTAGTAAGATGCTCCAATTTTAAGGATGATGATTATAAGCTATACAAAGGTTTCCTAACTTAATTATATACACATATAATATATTAATTCTTGCAGATTTACAAGCTTGACATGAGACTGTTTGGATTCCAACGAGACATCCTCTTTGTCTATTTTCATGAAATAAAGTCGAAAACAATAAATGAGGAACAAGGAATTAACATAGACAAATGTCCCCCCCCCCTGATTGCAATTACAAAGGTCTGACTTTCTTCTGCAGACGACGAACGCCGGTTGCAACGCTGGATTACAAGAATGATCCTGCTACTTATTGGTTGTGACAAAAAATGTTCAACTTCTAGGCATGTTAACAACTTGTTAAAATCTGAAAAGTAAAACGACGCGATACTCAATAACAAGTTTACAATATTGCCTAAATACTTAAAAAGTATTGAATGAATAAAATCTGTCCTTTCAGATATTTCTATGTGTTGACCAAGAAACTTCACACACATTGCCATTTAAAGAAATATACATATGAATGAAAAACGAGTTTCCAATACAAAGCCTGCTCAAGGTGGATATATCTTAACGTGATGTTGCTATATATAACCGATTTTGCATTCAAAAATATCCTTTAAATGCGTATAATAACCGATTTTGCATTTAAATATATCCTTTAAATGCGTATACAGGGTGTCCCATAAAAATGATATTTACGCTCTAAATGTTCAATCGAAAGAAAGCTAGTTTTTCATCAAGTTTGTGTGTACCCATACCCTACCCACAGACATACCAGCCTTCTACTAAACCCATATAGGTTTACAAATTTGATGGGGTGCAGACTATGCAAGACTTCGAAGAAAAAAGATTTTTAAGCATACATATCCTTAGGACACCCTGTATATGATTAGATTATAGAATACTATGTGTGTGATTCAGTCAAGCTGATAATATATGAGTCTTGCCTCAAGACTCTGACTGTGTACGCCCCTCCCCCTCCCCTCCCCCTCCCCTCCCCCTCCCCCTCCCCTCCCCCTCCTCCTCCCCTACATGTGTTGGGAGGATGAATTTACTCAGGGGAGTACACAGTCTTGATGCAAGACTAATATTATACAATACAGGCTATTCTATTCGTACCCATCATAAAAACGGGCAGAACAATAGGACATGCTGTAAAGTTTTCAAATGAACATACTGTAAAGTTCTTAAAGAAACAACATTGATAGAATACTGCAATTTAAAGATCTTGTAGATAAATTATCATCATCGGAAATTTCTTATTTAACGTTAAAAGGGTCGGACTTAAATGCAAAATGTTAGAACATCACATTGTTGACCTGGCCCATAAAGTGACTCATTACGGTTCACAATGTTGGTAAATAACTGAAATACTTTGAGGCTCACCAAAATAGTTTTACATAAAGTCTATGGTCCATCCCCCTTCCTGCCTAAAGAAATGTAGATCTGTGTGGGGCGGGCTGCGTATGCGTGATGTAAAACTAACCTAAGAACTCTCCAATAGCCCATGTATATTACCAGTAAAAGAAATGCTATACAACTTGATGTGCAAGCTATCTAAAATACACAGTGAAATAATTGTATATTATCCATAATTGAATACCATGATATAATATATGTTTTAAAGCATATCTACGAGCATATAATAGGACAGGTACTAACAAGACATCATGATACCGTAAGTTTGCTGTATTCGTGAACTCGATGATCATTCAACGCTAAACCAAAAATGCTCACGATATGATGCTGTCTGGATTGTACATGTGCAATAGTATAACATATTATCTTCAATTATTTTGTCATGGCTATGGGTAGAATCCAAGGTTATTTTCCATACTTTCCATAGGCCTCCGCCTAGGGAGATAGTCCTCGTCCAAATCGTCCCTGTTTTCGCCTGGGCCCAGAGCAGAGTTCATAGCATATGGATTCGGGGCTTTGTTTATATCCATACCAAACGTATCATATCTTGGTCTATTCATTGCGGTGTCACCATTTCTTTGAACCCATTCCTGTGACTTTTCGACTGGATCAGTATCCCGGCTATTTTTATAGTTTTTGTAGTAGTACAATTCTTCGCTGGCGTTTGAGTCGGGACCATAAAGTCCATTTTGAGCTTTCCCATTATGGGCGTTACCATTGCGGGCCTTGCCATTCTGAGTTCTACCGTTGGTCAAGTGTGGTGGAACTGGAGGGGGAGGTGGGGCCGGGGGTGGAGGAGCACCATTTGGTTTACTAACACGGGCGTAAACATCCTCTTGGTGATACTGCGCATGTCCATTATATCGATTTTGTTCGTATCTCCGCTGTTTCTCCTCCCTTCGTTTTCTTTCAGCATAGTCCAAGGCTGGACTTCTAGGTCTTCCTGCATGATGCCTTTCATTTGAATCATTACTTCCGCTTCGTCGTCTAACTATGCCTGGAGAGTTCCTTCCATGAGGTCTGGGCTCGCGAGATTTATCTCGTTCTCGCGAGGATGAGCTTGACGAGGAACTGCTGTTACTTCTACGCCTGTGCCTTTGACGAGGCGGTGATCTATCTGGAAGTGGCTGTCGTGGAAGTCGACTTTTGAAAAATACTGGGCCTCCCTTTTCGACGCGTTGCTCATCTCTCTGTGGAGCATCTCTAGTGATAACGTAATTACTTTCATTTCGACTTGCCATCATAGGGCCAGGTGGTGGAGGCGGGGGAGGCATGAAAACAACCGGTCCTTCATTGCCTCCTTGGTTTCTCATTACGCCAGTGTTCATATACAAATGAGGCGGCGCGTTGGCTGGACCAATTGGAATTAATCCCGGGGGTACTCCCGCTATACGAGGGGGTGGAGGAGGCGCTCCTCTATATCTCATGGCATGGGGCGGGGGTGGAGGGCCCATAACTACCCGGCCCCTTGTGGGAACCCTCTGAGGCGCCATAACAACTTGTTGTGTTTGAGGTACAGGGCGTCGTAAGCTCGTTACCTGGGGTGGTTGTCCCCTTACTACCATCTGAGATTGTTGCTGGGGTACCATCATCACCTGGCGTTGTTGTTGTGGGGGTGCCATCACCATCTGAGGCTGCTGTTGTGGGGGTGCCATCACCATCTGAGGCTGTTGTCTAGGGACGACCACCATTTGTGTTTGAATTGGGGGACGTCTCATTTGGGGAGGGGCGGCAGGGGTTGGCCTCCCCATATATCTAAACTGATGAATGTCTCTTTGATCCTGCTCCCTTGACACTTGATAGTTTCCCACCAAATGTTCAGTCCCACCGTAAAAGTAACCTCTGTCTACGATCTCTGATCGTGTATCCCGTATAGTATCATTGGGCCCTTTTTTTCGTGATTTCTTAACGGCTACAACTGACGACGATGCAATTGAACCAGCACGTAACGTATCTCGATCATAGTACGTATCATCATCGTCTTCCTCGATGAACTTGAAAACCTTATCCACGACCTCCGTTGCAGAAGCGTCCTCAAAAGATTCAACTTGGCCATTCTGTTCGAATGAGTAAGAACAGGCGGCGACCAAAGCCATAGCGGCTTGAGTAGACTGGCATATGAATCCATGGCACTCGAGAACCTTCACCCCCTTTGTACGGCGCATAATGGCCGCAAATATGGGCGGATGTGGACTGTTTCCGATCTCATCCGTCTTATCAAGTGATACAAACTTTGCCGTACGTTCCCGTGTGGCGCCATTTATGACGGTGACGGCTTTCACCGCTGAGCAAACGTAGAGGCTTGATATCGGGAACCACACCACGGTGCTCTGATCATCGACGTACTGGAGCTGTACCCCTGTACTAAACACTGTCAACCAGGCGTCAATTCCTTGAAATTCATCCTCGTTAACAGGATATCGTTCTCTTAGTGGCCTTTGTACCGATTCCAATCCTTCAACAGTTTCTAGCGGCACAGCACTTCCTATATACAACACCTTACACTTAGCTAGTGCCTGATGATCAGTTTTCCCAGGCATTTTCTCGAGTACAATTACTTTGCTTTAGGTGTATTTTCGTAGTTGAACATACCTCTTAACGTCACGTTGACTCGATGATTAACATAGTCCAAATCAGACGCCCTAAAGTGTTCCTGTTTAAAACTTATATTTTAAGTATTTCAAAATGGCGACCTACAAAATAAATCCAAGTTTGGTAAGTGTATTTTTGTTTGAGTTTCCCAAGCGGAACTCCAGCGTATTAACTCACTAAATCACTGTCAATGTTCATCCAGTCATCTTCCCCCAACGGTAGATTAACTTTTACTCCTTAAACTTCACGATCCCGATTTAATTCGGAGTGTTTCTCTCGATGATTAACAGGGTTAAACTCCGTGTCCATACAGGGTGTGTTCTCCCGATTTAATACACACAATAGTCAATCGATGCCAAACCTTGTTTGAATAGGTCTATGTACGTGTATTTGAAAGCCTGAATAAAATCTTAATGTGCTCATGTTAAAGTGTGTATTTAAGCACCCGACATATAGGGTTTAAATCACGGCCCTTAATGTCATACTCGACCTCAGGATTTTAACCAAAGTATCGATGTAAATATGTTATGTTATTTTAAATAAAGGCATGCTAATCATATTGTTTAACTGGCGGGTATGCATGCTTTTGATCATACAACGGCAATACATTTATTATATCATGTCTATTTTAAACACAATAGTATTTTCATTAGAATAAGTTTTTTGATTTTTTACTTGGCAAGGGCAGGAATGTTCAAGTTAGGATTACTGCCTTAACGTCAAGAGATCTCTGTGAATCATATACTTTTTAAAAATGTTATGTTTAAGATTTACCTGCCTGGTTTAACACCAAGGCGTGTCATGATGTTTGCATGTCAGGAATATTGTATGAATAGAACAGTCAAAATGTATGTAGGCCTAGCCTATACCTGTAGCATTTACATATTGTTGATACACATTTTTGTAATTATGACAAGACAGGGGCGTAGCCAAGTCGAAATCAGGCAAAAATTGATAGGCGAGGTATTTAGACAAAATGAGTTGTATTTGCCTTTCATGAAAAACTGTGTTTTGGCGAGGCAGTTTCGTCGATGCCTCATGACTAGCTATGTTCATGGACAAGTACAAAACAGGACACAATTTAGTTAATTTCTAAGAAATATGTACCATGAATAAGTAAGACCGCATATTTTGTTCATTCCCGAATATGCACTAAAAATATGAACATAACCAATAATTATAAAAGTTATCAACATGTAAATGTCACCACCTGCCATTTGTTAGTCGCACCGACCGCCGATCACTGTTCAGAAAAAGTTGTAGACCAGTAACAATCCGGCCCATGGATTATGCATATACACTATAGCTTTCGAGTTGATTCTACATTCTTTAAGTTTCTGAGCTCTGACTCAGATAATTATTTTCAGTTCCATTCATTTTTTTCAAAACAACAAAAGCAAAAATAGCAATGGCAATATCTGTATTTGTAGTTGTCGATCTTTTTAGCGCTAGAGGCGCACCCTATGGTGTTATTTTGTTGTTGGCTATAATATTATTATTATCTTTTTGCGTAATGACTGCTTTACCCAGCATGCGTTGTAGGTATTCCAGACCTAAACCTACTGGTCAAAATTGGATTTTTGACAAGGTGCAGTTTAAGGTCAATGTAGTTATAAAACCTTACATTATTATATGCATATAGGCCAATGGTTACGATAACATCCTTGAAAAACATATATCATCTTTATAAAAAACACCACCCATATATATATATCATCGTTATGGATGTGTATGTAGAATCTAGTGAAACGAAGCAATTAGATGGAGTTGAGTGACGCCAAAACAAAAGTAGGACTAAAATCCAGTGTATTCGTTTTAAATTATGCTTATGAATGATCACTGGCACATATTTTTCTTTGTTTAAGAGGGGCTAGATATTATATGAGGAATGTTAATAGAAACAGTTTGATTAATATTCATGAAAAGTTATTGGTCGCTTATCCTTAAAATGTCCATGGACGAATATCGACCTATTTTAAGTTAATTTAATTTACTATTTTATTTGCTTTAAACGCTGTTGAAATCTCTTCAACATTTATGGTATGTACTCAACATACCATCTATATAACTGTGTTATACAGATACTTAGCAAACCATTCACTCTAGTACCACGCGATAGTTTATATAGCTACTTGAAATAATTGCACGGAAATAGGAATACTCGGGGATTTTGGGTTTCCTTAGCAGCGGGTCATAAACGATATCTCCAGTGTCCTAGCAAATGCTTCAATTACTTTTAAAATTAAAAATGTGATGGCACCACTAAAAGGTGGCGTACTGGTACAACCGCTGCCGTTTTTGTGACCGACGTTCGACGTCGGCGTACGGCCGCGGTTGGTGTTTCAAACAGTTTGCAGCAATTTCCTGTAATTAACCATGTGGAATCAATGTGTCATGTAAGCTTCTAATTTTACATTGTAATGCATTGCAATCATATGATGGGGTTAGATTTAAAACAAAACAAAACAAAGCGTCGTAGGTAAATAATTTAATTGCGTACAATACAATTTATTATGATATTATAAAGAGCATAAGCTGCTTATACTAAATTCATAAATAGAGAGACTTGAACTGCATAAACATCTTAAACTTATATGGCCATGGTGTGCAATGACCTGAAATAAGCAGTTCCTTTTATATGAAGAAACTAGTTATCAATCTTGAAATGTTTAAACTTCTTTTGAGAGCAAATACAAAGGACGTGAAAATTCGCGACCTCGTTGGATCACAGGCTCTTAGGTTATACAAAAGAAAACCTGCATGAAGTGGGCTATGCATATATACAAAATAAGTGTCCTTATATCTTATATTTAAGAATATTAGGTACATAAACTCAAAGTAGCGTGTTCTGTTTACGCAAAGCATAAACGAAAATTAAGTATTAGAATAGATGGAGTGGCGAAACGAATCGAACAATCAGTAGATGTAAATTGAAAACACGAATATATAGATCATACACGTCATTATAGGGGTTTACCCATCATGATATACCATGACATCTCAAATCTTCTCAGCCCAGGTGAAACAGAAAGATGCTATGAGTATCAGAACCGTGCGCAAACCAAGTTTTAAGGAAAAAGCGATTGATAATTAAAAGAAGCATGTCTTCAAAGTTTTACCATTTTTCAAATCGTTAGTAAGGATCGTATTATACTGATGGTGCGAGATATCCCTAGGCAATTAATGTTTTTCATTCTTATTCATCGTTTTTTATTCATTTGTGAGCTCTGTCAATGTTTTCATCGCATGGCTATAGCTTAATAATATATGACTTGAGGTGAAATCTCAATACAAAATACGAATAATAGACCACTTATATTTAGCTTGACATTCGTTTTAAGGTTGCGCGATATGGGTTCCACATTTAGGATATGAACTCAAGCAATACTTTTCACAATACGGTCAACAACTTGAGAACAGTTTCACTATCACGAAACACTAAATAGTGCTGTCAGTTAGAACTTTAATTGCACTTGCTAATGCTATATATACGTCACCATTTTTTGACCAAAGTATCATTATTACATATATTTTTGATATCCACCGAAGTGGTGTTAAAAAGTAGCCCCAGTGGATAATAACAGGGCTCGCAAATTTTGCATGTTTCCATTGAGTTAAATGTTAATTTATCAATCTTCGAAAGACCCCCTGCAGAGGAGTTCAAGAACAATAAAATCAATCTTCCTAGTATGTAACCGTGACTTAAATGTCTTCAAAATAAGAAGGGTTACAAGCTGGATTTTGTCTAGTTCCAACGATATTGGTGTTTGAATTTTGGAAAATTCCCATTGACGGCCATTATAAACTACTCTCAATATGGCCTTATTAAAGTGTCATTTTATTCCAAAATTCCATAATGGATTTTTTTGATATAGAAGATTTCTATAGCCAATATAATGACTTTTAAAAAACCAAACAGGCACATTTCTAAGAATTCATTATTTTTTATGTTAGATATCTAACCATTGAGTTGCACACGGAAACTCCCATTGGCTGCCATTATAAAAGCTATCAAACGGTTTTTACTAATAAAGTGTAATTTTCTCCAAAAGTTCACTATGGAATTTTCTGATATTGCAGATTTCTATACCCACACAACATAATGACTTTCCAAAAACAAAAGTGGCACATTTTTAAAAAATTCTTATTTTTAATATATCTACTTATTAAGTTGCTCATGAAAACTTATTGAGTCCCATGTTAATTTATCAATATTCAAAAAGACCCCCTGCGGAACAGTTCAAGAGCAATAAGGTCAATCCTCCTGGTATGTAAACATATCTTGCTTGTCTTCAAAATAAGAAGGGTTACAAGTTTGATTCTGTTTAGTTCCAAAGATATTGGTGTTTGAATTTTGGAAAATTCCCATTGACCGCCATTATAAACTTCTATCAATATGGCTTTACTAAAGTGCCATTTTCTCCAAAAGTTCACGATGGAATTTTCTGATATTGCAGATTTCTATAGTCAATATATTGACTTCTAAAAAACCAAACAGGCATAATTCTAAAACTTTCTTATTTTAAGTATATTTAGCCCTCAAGTTAACCGAAAATCCCCATTGGCTACCATTATAAACTGCTATAAACATGGATTTACGAATAAAGTATACTTTTCTCCAAAAGTCCACAATGAAATTTTCTGATTTATAGGAATAGGAAATCTGCAATATCAGAGAAATTCATATTGGACTTTTTGGGGAAATGACAGTTTAGTAAAAGCATATTGATATCAGTTTATAATGGCAGTCAATGGGGATTTTTGTATGTGATTTATGGCTAAATATATTAAGAACAAGAAATTTTTAGGAATGTGCCTGTTTGGTTTTTAAAAAGTAAATATATCAACTATAGAAATCTGCAATCAGAAAATTCCATAGTGGACATTTGGAGAAAATGGCACTTTGGTAAAGCCATATTGATAGTAGTTTATAATGGCGGTCAATGGGGATTTCCCAAAATTTAATCGTCAATATCTTTTGAACTAGATAAAATCCAGCCGGTAACCCTTCTAATTTTGAAGACATCCACGTTATGGTTACATACTACTAAGATTGACTTTATTGCTCTTGAACTGTTCCGCAGGGGATCTTTTAAAGATTGATAAATTAACATGGGACTCAATGGGTGTTTTCGTGAGCAACTTAACAACTAGATATCTTAAAAATAAGAAATTTTTAGAAATGTGCCTGTTTGGTTTTTTGAAAGTCAATATATTGGCTGTAGAAATCTGCAACATCAGAAATTTCCACAGTGGACTTTTAGAAAAAATGACCCTTTAGTAAAGCCATATTGAGAGTAGTTTATAATGGCAGTCAATGGGAATTTTCCAAAATTCAAACACCAATATCTTTTGAACTAGACAAAATCTAGCTTGTAACCCTTCTTATTTTGAAGACATTTGAGTCATGGTTACATACTAATTAAGAAGATTGACTTCATTGCTCTTGAACTGTTCTGCATGGGGTCTTTTGAAGATTGATGAATTGACATTGGGCCCAATAGAAACATGCAAAATTCTCGAAGTCTGTTATTATCCACTGGGGCCATTTTTTGACACCACTTCGGTGGATTTCATAAATATATGTAATAATGATACTTTGGTAAAAAATGGTGCCGTATATATAGCAAGTGCAATTCAAGGGTTTTATTGTCATAACTGACTGCACTAAAATTCGAGATCATTAACAAAATGGCATTAAATAGCTTCATCTTAACGGTTTTAGACAATGAAACTTTGTCGTGTTTAGGATCGATACCTTGTCCAAATTCAATTTGTTTTTTTTGTTTGTTTTGGAGTAGCCATCCCTTCGATTCTAGTTATCTCCAAACACCACTGGGACAAAATTATTCAGATCAACAGGTTTTCGCATTTCAAGGTTTCTTAAAATATGAGTAAACTGGAGATGAAAATGACCGAGAAAGCTGTCCGCATTGAGAGGTGTTCGGGCTGGAGAGGATTTCGGATAAAAAGGTTTCATTAGTTAATTTCAAGCATAGCGTTCAACTAATCCATTCCCCTGTGGATTATAAACCAATGGTTCATATACTTAGCTTTCTTTTGGCAATTATCGACAGAAATATGATAGATTACCACTTAACTTTGACATATTTAAAAAGAGTTGTTTATACAGGATGGTTCTTATTATACTTTGGGAAACTCGGTGCATTTACTCTTCGTAGGTACCATTGAATGACTGACTTGTAAGACAAATGAATAAAAAAAACTTTAGCTAAAAACGCTTCACACTTTCTAGGCAGCATCGTACTAGCTCCTAGATTTATGGATGGGGAGGGCAAAGTTATACGTGAATAAGATCAAGATTTGTTATGGTAAGCATAACATTTAATATTGTGCGGTATTTATTGCATAATTTGTATAAATAAGGTACAAAATGTCATGCATGTGTACATGTGGAATACAATTTCTAAATAAACTTGAAACGTTTACATTTATTCTGAAGAACAATAAGTGTTGTTTATTTTTTCTCCCGTCACCAGACTGATATAGTACATTGAAATATGTAAATTGTTTGCCCTTAGATATTCAAGACCTTCATGTAGTAACACACATTTTTTCTGAACCAATCACGATTTTCTTACACGTTTTTAATTTCTGCTTTCATTTATGATTTGATGCTATTTGAAAAACAAATAAAGAAATAAAATCAAGGACCTGAAGAAATAAAAGTACATTGAATGACAAAAGCTGGAAGCATTTTAACAGGAAGCCTAGAAGCAATGTAATTTTATGTAATCAGTGAAAACAGATACAACAATCATTTCTGGCTCATTTCAACACAGCCATGTTTAAATTACGTTCCCACATGATTAAGATAGTAATATAGCTATAATTAAATCAAGATTACATAAACAATGCGCCATACATATGCTGCGTAAATGTAGACGTTAAATGATCAGAATTGTACATGACATAATAAAGTATACACTTAAATATTATAGATGTTGAATGCTATGGAAATAATACAAAAAGCCCGGTTCCCACATCCTTGTACTGAAAATTAAAAGTCAGACATTTTATTGAATTATACCTTGTATTGATTTAACCTATTGCACATTATCTGAGGGGATATGGTATTGAACATATTAAAACAATACTCTGGTCACAGTTTAGGATTATGTAAGCATTTTAGCCACTTCTAAAAACACTGGATAAAAGTACTATAGTATATACATAACCTATGATTGCAAGCTTAAAACGGCACAAGAATATAAAACACGGGGGGGGGATGTTTACACATAATATACTTGGCATCTTAAACGTTTATAACATCCCCTATTCAAAATCTTCAAGATGTTCTACCTTTTATACGAGACCCATGATTACATAACATAATGATTGTATAATGAAGGTTATGTGGGGCATTTCATTAATATAATCCCTATGTCATTTCCGCCATTATAAAACAGATCGTTGGGATTAACCATGGCTGGCTTACAGGTAGGTAATAACATTATTACTATGCATGATTTACGAGCTCGTGTAATATGTTGTTTTTCCATTGTGGAATGGATAGAGGTTATACCTAGGGAGGGTTTGTATATTGGGTTTAACAAGAGGGATGATATCTTCCCGAAGGACCAAGCGAAGATATCATATCATCCCGAAGGATAAGCCCAATATATAATCACGACTGAGGATGACCTTTTCATACTATGATTAGATAATTTATGACAAAAATGACAAAACGAAAGACGAAACAAAATGAAAGTTCATCAATTAAATCCTGTGAGGGAAGTGTACAGTACGTATATGGCAAAAACCTCAATATAATTGTTATCAACGGGCTATCTAATATCACAAGGATCATGGTAAAGATAATTGATATTCAAAAAAACCATATCAGATCCCGTATCAGTCAAAATCCCGTATCAGATCCCGTATCAGCCAAAATCCCTATCAGATCCCGTATCAGCAAACATCCCTATCAGATCCCGTATTGGATCCCGTATCAGCCAAAATCATGTATCAGAGTCAGTATCAGAACTATTCCCGGTGATTTCTCTTGTTTTTTAGATAATTTTTCGTTCGATGTGGTAATGAGAGTTGAACGTGTTATATTTAAAATCAAATTTTATCATTTTATATCAACATCTTTTGGTGATGACAAATCAAACTTGAAAATGAATAGGTTTCAAATAAATTATTATGGAATAAAAAGGTTATTGATCGTTGTCGATCCCTCGGAATAAAATTCATATTCCATGAAATAACCTCTATGTAACCTCTTTATGGGGGGGGGGGTTGAAATACGGTATAACCATTTGCCCCTAGAATATAAAATTCCTATAAACATAAGCAACAGGCAATAGCCCTAAACGTTGATAACATAGATGATGAAACATAAGCTGAATAAAAAAGTTTAAGAGATTCAGTCACCTCCGAAAGTTGGACGCCCCTTGTAATTTAAAGTCTAGTCTAAATAAATGTTCTCTCGTGGTCCTGTCATACCGTATTGACATATATTATTGTTAGTGTGATATCATTATGAAACTAATTGTACCCTTAAAATGGTCAGATGCCAACAATTTTCCTAATGACAGCATTTTCTTATTAGTTCCTCGCGGCTAGTATGGACAACGCGTGAAGGGGACATTTATCCACGAAGATGTATACAGGTACCACACTTTCTCCGATTGTTTTTGTCACGTATAACATTATCTTGAGCAATATTCTTTCACAGTGAGGACGTTCCCATATTAATTGGCACCGATATTGGCAAGCACCAGTTAGTCTCTGAACGTATATGCACAGTACGACCTTGAACTTTGTATATGACGCTAGCTTTGCGACAATGGAGAATGTTTTTTCTGCGATCTCACATGGCACTAGATTTCATATCCGTAACTTATTTTGAAGTAAGCGATTCACCGTGCGGATCAGTCACGTGACACATCTTCAGCTAAGATTTGTTAGTATGTAAATTCCCATCCTGTATGAACTAATCGATCACCATTGTCATCCACAATATATTTAGGAACACCATCTACAGAATCAGTTTCTCGTACAACTCGCGCGTGTCTCAGGTCACCGTGCGAAATATGTACGTTGGAACTTCTTGGTCGTTCACCCAGGCGAGAATCTCGTGAATACGAGACTGGGATATTCATTACGCTTTTTGCCCTTTTTGGAGTCGTAAGAATATTATTGCTCGATCTGTAGATTTTCGGCGTTGTGCTATATCCATACATGCTTTCTGTTCCATATGGTTTTCTAGATAAGTCCTTAGAACTAGATATTGTCTTGTATTTCATCAAATCCTGTTCTCGCGAGATGTTATGCTGAGCTGGCAACGTGCTGGAAGAGTAAACGGTAAGGGGGCGACCTCCAGGACTGGTCTTCTTCCTCCGCGGTGGTGGAATAAGGGAATCATATCTGCCGTTTGTCATAGTATAACGCTCTGATAACGACTTATAATCTGGCCTTGTGTCCAGATGGTTATATTGGGAATCTAAGTGATTTGGATTGAAATAATTAGGAGATTTGTTTCTATGATATTGCATAGAACTTACTTTGGAATCCCTCCCTTTGATATCATTTCGTAGCATGGTAACTCTTCCGTGGTTTGATGGTGTCGTATCAAATGAATCGTTTAACGTGACACCATTACTGTAATATTTCAGTGTTTCTCTTTCATCAGCTAATGTGGGCCTCTCTGGTTGAATGTACCCAGTTATTGTAGGCCCGCCACGCTGTGTAGACCCAGTTTCGTTTGATCCGGATACTTTGATTTGTTTCAGCTGTCCGTCGTTTATATCTCTGTAGAATAGGTTTCTACTCCCATCTTTAGCAATGTATTCCGTAACTGGGGTTCCTTTAGGAATTCTAGCCAAAATCGAGTTGTCAGAACTTGCCACAACTTCCGCTTGCGCATGCCCATAGTCAGTGTGGAAAGGTTGAAGTGTCTCGGAACGTCGGGATTTATTTTGCCTATCAGGTGATATGCTTCGTGAGTTTGATGTTAGATGACGAGTTGTCGAAATCTTGTGGGAAAAGTCATCACCCCTGTAGCTACCGTCCATATCGTCATATCTACTGCGCATGCGAAATTCGTTGTTATTGTTAGAGCCTGATTTCAGCCTTTCTAACTCCGTAGTTAGATAATCCACCTGGTTTTCTATTCTATGGGAATCATTGTGCACATATTGAAGGGTGTTACTCGAGGGAGACGGTGTAGCTGTGTGTCTACCACGTACATTTGTTTCATTCCTAGATTTCGAGCGGGCGGGAGAGCCAAAATTGAAGATCGACCTGAGACGTCGAGAGAACTTACTTTCTCGTTCTTTATTGCTATTTGAAGACATACTCAAATTGTCGTCACATAGAAATAAACAGAAGCACATAAAGTCTTTCCAGTAATTTCCGAAATAGCCCAAGTTATATCTACAAGTATCAGCGTTTGTGCATTTATGATGAATTCTGTATCTTTATGTGAGATGTCAGTCGTTGGCAAGGACTCAAGTTGATGATATATTCATTAGGATTTGCCTCGGGTTAGTTCGAATCCTCTTTTCTGCATGTCTTAAGTTATCTTTATCGTGGCCATTGCATGCAGATGTGCATTAAGAGCTTATTTCAGAAGCGTGGACCCGGTTCACCTCGACCTTGCTATTATAAACACTCTCCCGGATGTATGTCCTTTACCTAATCTAAGGCAATAATCATTCCCATTGAATTCATCTGCCTCCTCTAAATTCGTACGTTTAATCCACAGGTTTATTCCAAAATGTTTCTAAAATTCATGAAATGGTAAGTCTAAGAATGTCTGTATGACTAGAAATGTCCTCATGTGTACGATGTGCTCATATAGGATGTAGGAGTGCACTTATGTAGGTAGATCTAATGGTATTTTTCAAATTGTTTGCACAGCTCCTAAAGACTTCAAATAAAGCGTCGTAACCTTTAATGTATTAAATGCTGAACGATTCTCTTGAATGTCTCGGTTTTCTAATAACAGTTTTTTGCTATTTCCTTTCATAGAACGTCTGCGTCGATGAATCTATTAACATATGAATGTACCTTCGTAAATAGTATTGATTTTTAACCAGTATACTGCATGTATCTATGCTTGTTATTAATTCACTTTGCATTTATATTGATCATTTGTTGTTTCCTATCACACCGCCGCAGATTGTTCATTTGAAAGTGTGCATGATGTTGGCTATTTCTCCCTTGCTACCTACTTACGCCGTTGATTCCAGTATAAAAACAAGTCAACTGTTTCACTCCAGTGTAAGTCGTTAGACAGGTGAATATCTAAAAAATCAAAATTTATTCGTTTATCCCTTTAAGGCATCACGCACTTAACCCGTTCTAATAATTCATCATAAACTTCTTAGTATTTTATATTCAGTGCATCATTTGGTCTAGTGCCTTTCATTAAGGTCAAATGATTTTGAAAACAATTTTGAAAAGCTGCATATTTGTAATACAATAAAAAGCGAAAACAAGTTATAAATTCGCATTTTTATATACAAGAGGATATGGGTTTAAATGCACTGATACATACAGAGTTTTAAAAGGCCGTATTTTAAACGCATTTAGTTACAAATCTAACGTGTTGTTTAAATCAATGTGAGTCATGAATTTAAGTTTGGTTAGGATTCATTCAACATACCTAGTAAAATAAATTAAGTCACATAATTGTAAACAACCTTTTTAAACATGATAAGATGACATTCTAAACGTATATTTTAAGGTAAATATTCCCATCTTAAGCATACAGGGTGTCCCGAAAGTATGCCCCTCCCCCCTAGGCAGACATATACCAGTGTCGTCATAGTATGTGTCATATATCATTTTAAAGCTTATCCAAAGTTACATTGATTCGCCAAGTATCATGGTTCAACTCTCAAATGTGAAAAAATTACAGGCATTTCAAAATTTAGTGTTTGGTCAAAATTTAGTTTAATTTTACACCAAACATTAGTCAATGTGTCCTCCCGGGCCATCTTAACAGCAGCAATTCTTTTCGGGTCGGATGGATATTGAGTTGGAAAAAGAGAACGGTGGGGTAGAAACTCTAGGGAAACTCTTCTAAAGTGCCTTAACAGGTTTTAAGAGGGTTATAAAATTCCACACTCCTATTTGAAGGGCTTTTAAGGTCATATCTGAAAATAATTGCTGCTGTTAACATGGCCAAGGGGGGACTCATTGACTAGTAATGTCGTGTAAAATTGAACTTTATTTTGACAAAGCGCTAACTTTTAGAATGAGTGTAACTTTTTCCCATTTGGGAGTGAAACCATGATACTTGACAAATCAATGTAACTTTGGATAAGCTTTAAAATGATATATGACACATACTATGAGGACACTGGAATATGTCTACCCAGGGGGGGGCCCCATACTTTCGGGACACCCTGTACATTGTAATTAAAAGGTGTTTTCTAGATCGTAATAGTATAGTGGGGGCAACCACAGTTCCTATGAGCAGAGTTTGCCAAAAAGATGTCAGTTATTATGCAATACTTTAATCAGTTATTGTTAATACAAACTATGTCGATCGGTGTTTGTTAGAATTGTAGCCTGAGTGCTCCAGTATATATGTCGTTGGTGACTGATTGTAGCCTGAGTGCTACAGTACATGTCGTTGGTGACCGATTGTAGCCTGAGTGCTAGAGTGCATGTCGTTTGATGACTGATTGTAGCCTGAGTGCTACAGTACATGTCGTTTGATGACTGATTGTAGCCTGAGTGCTACAGTACATGTCGTTGGTGACTGATTGTAGCCTGAGTACTACAGTGCATGTCGTTGGTGACCGATTGTAGCCTATAGTGCTACAGTACATGTCTTTGGTGACTGATTGTAGTCTGAGTGCTACAGCGCATGTCATTGGTGACCGATTGTAGCCTAGAGTGCTACAGTACATGTCTTTGGTGACTGATTGTAGCCTGAGAACTACAGTGCATGTCGTTGGTGACCGATTGTAGCCTAGAGTGCTACAGTACATGTATTTGGTGACTGATTGTAGCCTGAGTACTACAGTGCATGGCGTTGGTGACCGATTGTAGCCTAGAGTGCTACAGTACATGTCTTTGGTGACTGATTGTATCCTGAGTACTACAGTGCATGTCGTTGGTGACCGATTGTAGCCTAGAGTGCTACAGTACATGTCTTTGGTGACTGATTGTAGTCTGAGTGCTACAGTGCATGTCGTTGGTGACCGATTGTAGCCTAGAGTGCTACAGTACATGTATTTGGTGACTGATTGTAGCCTGAGTACTACAATGTATGTCGTTGGTGACCGATTGTAGCCTAGAGTGCTACAGTACATGTCTTTCGTGACTGATTGTAGCCTGAGTACTACAGTGCATGTCGTTGGTGACCGATTGTAGCCTAGAGTGCTACAGTACATGTCGTTGGTGACCGATTGTAGCCTAGAGTGCTACAGTGCATGTCGTTGGTGACTGATTGTAGCCTGAGTGCTACAGTACATGTCGTTGGTGACTGATTGTAGTCTGAGTGCTATAGTACATGTCGTTGGTGACTGATTGTAGCCTGAGTGCTCCAGTATATGTCGCTGGTGACTGATTGTAGCCTGAGTGCTACAGTACATGTCGTTGGTGACTGATTGTAGCCTAGAGTGCTACAGTACATGTCGTTGGTGATTGATTGTAGCCTGAGTGCTACAGTACATGTCGTTGGTGACTAATTGTAGCCTGAGTGCTACAGTACATGTCGTTGGTGACTGATTGTAGTCTGAGTGCTATAGTACATGTCGTTGGTGACTGATTGTAGCCTGAGTGCTCCAGTATATGTCGTTGGTGACTGATCTGATTTTAGCCTGAGTGCTACAGTACATGTCGTTGGTGACTGATTGTAGCCTGAGTGCTACAATACATGTCGTTGTGTGACTGATTGTAGCCTGAGTACTACAGTGCATGTCGTTGGTGACCGATTGTAGCCTACAGTGCTACAGTACATGTCTTTGGTGACCGATTGTAGCCTAGAGTGCTACAGTACATGTCTTTGGTGACTGATTGTAGCCTGAGTACTACAGTGCATGTCGTTGGTGACCGATTGTAGCCTAGAGTGCTACAGTACATGTCGTTGGTGACTGATTGTAGCCTGAGTGCTACAGTACATGTCGTTGGTGAATGATTGTAGCCTGAGTACTACAGTGCATGTCGTTGGTGACCGATTGTAGCCTAGAGTGCTACAGTACATGTCGTTGGTGACTGATTGTAGCCTGAGTACTACAGTACATGTCGTTGGTGACCGATTGTAGCCTAGAGTGCTACAGTACATGTCTTTGGTGACTGATTGTAGCCTGAGTACTACAGTGCATGTCGTTGGTGACCGATTGTAGCCTAGAGTGCTACAGTTCATGTCTTTGGTGACTGATTGTAGCCTAGAGTGCTACAGTGCATGTCGTTGGTGACCGATTGTAGCCTAGAGTGCTACAGTACATGTCTTTGGTGACTGATTGTCGCCTAGAGTGCTACAGTACATGTCTTTGGTGACTGATTGAAGCCTAGAGTGCTATAGTACATGTCGTTGGTGACTGATTGTAGCCTGAGTGCTACAGTGCATGTCGATGGTGACCGATTGTAGCCTAGAGTGCTACAGTACATGTCTTTGGTGACTGATTGTAGCCTAGAGTGCTACAGTACATGTCGTTGGTGACTGATTGTAGCCTGAGTGCTACAGTGCATGTCGTTGGTGACTGATTGTAGCCTAGAGTGCTACAGTATATGTCGTTGGTGACTGAAGTATTCGTCAAAGATTTAATAGCGTAGAAACTGTAATTCAGATATACAGTAGGCAATGCGTATCCGATTCCAGCTAATGCAGTGCATTATATCACCAATCACCGCATCCAAGGTCAGTCCTTATGTTGTTGTAAAGACGACAACTTGACTCTACAAATTGAAATTGATGCTCTGCAACTCGACCCCTGCAAATAGTTTCATTGAAAATAGGTTTCTTTAATGATTTAGTATTCTTTCAAGTGACATTGTAGAGAATATTTTACAATATTTAAAAATAATTTAAGTTCAAGACTCAATGCATTGTCGAATGACCATTCCTTGCAGGCCTTATTCCTAAAATTAACACTCGATGCTGCGCATCTCGTTCAAATTTTGGAAAGCAACACCTTCAAGGAATGTTTATTCCACAATGCATTGAGTCATAAGCAAAGTAAAACTAAAAGTAGAACATATGAATTGTGAAATATTTAATCAATAATTGCACCTAGTCTACTTTGCTGCAATTACACCAATTAAACCTTCTGATCAAGAGAATTCGATGGTAAAGAGGAAGTTGAATAATTCTAAAGATGATAAATAATTGACCACATACAGTTGTCTCTGGGATAGTTTACATGTATATTAAAGTTTAATTTGCGTATTAATTTGTGGCCAGCCTGTACATTAAAAAAAGTAATATTAATTATGGCGTCTATTTCCTGTATTTTGATAAATGATACAAACCTTCTTAGACTCATCTTGATTTACAAGGTTTCAGTTGCACCTTGGGAGTCGAAGATGTCTTAGACTCCCATATAATATAAGTAAACATATTGCCATTTAGAAATTGCAAGGGAATCTTGCACTCCTTCATTATTATTATCCCACCGCACGAAGTTCGAGGGGGATATAGAAAAGCCGTCCGTCCGTTCGTCCGTCCGTTCATGTGTCCGGGCAATAACTCATACCGGTTGAAAGATTTCATTCCGAAATTTTATAGGCTTATGCCTTATGGATGTAGGACCTCTGCTCGAGAAGGAATTTTCAATGTTGCCACTCAATTCAAAATGGTCGCAATTTTTCTTAAAAATGTAATCTTTCATAACTCAAATACTATTTGACGGATTTGATCCAAATTTTGTATACTGATGCCTCTGGATAAAGAAGCTATGCTGAAGAAAAGATTTTCAAAATGGCTGCCAAATATCAAAATGGCGGCCATCTTTCTTAAGAAATTTTGGTTCAAATTTTATGTGATGATGCCTTGGGAAAAAGTAGATTTAATTAGAAAATAATTTTTAAGATGGCGGCTATTTTCATAAAAAAACGAGTAGACTGATTTGGTTCAAATTTTATAAGCTGATGACTAGGGACAAAGGAGCTATGCTTATGAAGACATTTTGAAAATGGCTGCTAAATATCAGAATGGCGGCCATTTTTCGTAAATAACATAATTTTTGATAACTCAAATACCATCGAGCGGATTTGGTTCAGATTTAATACGATGATGCCTAGGGACAAAGTAGATTTATTCAACGAGGAATTTTCAAGATGGCGGCTGCATTTCAAAATGGCCACCATTTTTCATGAAAAACGTAATATTTGATAACTCAGATACTAGTTGACGGATTTGGTTCAAATCTTATATGCTGATGAAGGGATAAAGGAGCTAGGCTGAAGAATTTGATATACCAATTAAAGATAAGTAAATTCCCTATCCACTGATATATAATATGACATGTTTTTATGAAGAAAATCAATATTTATTTTTGAAATACGTCTGTCCCATTTTTGGACCACCCTGTACTATGTGATCCTTTTACTTTGTATAGTAAGTTCCCTATTGTGTATTTTGTTTTCAGTGGTGCATAACATTTACATTTATTCAAGTTTTAAAGTTTGTCAAGATCTCTAAAAAGGCCGGACTAAATCCCCATTGACACAATTGAAAATCCTTTAAAAGTTATTTTACCCTTATAAGGATCACAACTTTATCATTTGCTCATATAGTAAAATTCAAATGGTGTATTCAGTTGGCTTTACCAATACTCATGCTGCCATCTTTTTTTTTCTATTTATATAGAAAATGGTCAATTAAAGGAGGGTCAATATAGTGGAAGCTTTACATAATGGAAGTGAAGCTAAATATTTGATAAGATTTTGACAGCCATTTTGAAACATGTATGACATTGAGTCCACCTGATAGGCATGTTGAGAACTGACAGATTTCATCCCGTTGGACTAGGCTGTGTTGTCCAATTTTACACCCATGGAAACCAATGAGGTTCTACTCTGTCCCATTAAACCTACAAAGTGGAATGGTTAGAAAATGTCCATACGATCATTCATGGTACTTTAACTTCACGGTTTACTATAGCTATATATTCTTTGAGTTTTATGAGACATTATAATGCAAAAGGGGCAACGTTTCTTGGGCTTGGGGCATAAGACATTTTGTGTATGTTGGAACTAAAACAATATCAACATGAAGTAAATGAGAAACATGGTTAGATATATTTTAAATTTTATTACGCAATTACATTTTTCACATAAAGAAATATAATTGTACCGATATTCTGAAAAATTTAGAAACATCCGTGTATCTAGAATCACTTACTGACCTCATTTTCGATCAAGAATCATATAGAGCCGTGTACGTATTGATTAATTGGTAAAAGAGATATACGAATTCCACGCATACTTAAACTATTCATAATATTTGCGTTTTTTAAACAAAATGCGAATGCAACGTAAGTTTCAGGGCAATATATCACATTTGTTTGAGGAGTTATAAAAGATCACCCCATTGTGATCTGTATTTCAATGTGAAAACGCAAACCCTTCCTTCATAATTTCCGAAATTATGAGCAGCTAATGCCACCAGATCTCCACTAGAATTGCCTTTCGTAGCGACGACGAAACATCCATCGGTGTTTGGAGTAATTAAGTCTTTTATGTGCACACCCTCTGGTGACAAAAGTCTAACTTCATATGTGGACTTATCGATCACAGCAATATTATCCTTGCTGTCGATGCACAGGAAGAGGTCTGGTTCATCCCCATCAGGACTGTATTCAAATAACTTCGTCACATCGCTGCCATTCAATCTAATGCCGACAATACATTTCGAGTTCGTCATGATGATATCATTGTTACTATTGGTTGCCATGCAGCAAATGCCACGAAACAAACGTTCGTCTTTTTTAGATTTCGCTGTAACTTTTCCAGATTTGGTATCGACACGGCATATTCTTGCACCACCTTCGATCATAAGCAGTTCATCGAGATTATTAATTGCAAAATCACCTGGTTGCTTGATGCCTGAGATCACAAACTGCTTTTCGAGGTCACCATGTCGACCATAGATCTTAACTTCTGGAGTTTCATCCGTCTTGATCCAGAAAAATGCAATACAACCGCCATTTCCTCTAGTCACACCCTTCCAGCCTTCTTGTATTGAAATTTTTCTTTTGGGGTTCAAATTGGGGTCATAAAACACAACCTTCTTTCGTGTTGTAATCACGATTTCGTCACTCGTTAGAACAATCAGATTACCAAAATCGTTCATAATTTTATGCTTCTTGACACCTATCGATTCCAGTTCAGTCGTAACAGATGCGAGGATAATATTCCCCTCATTAATTTCACTTTGTTTGATTTCAGTTTTAGCTAATGGCCGATAGTCCAAATCAGGAGGCGCTGACCAAGCCTCTCGCTTGCTGTTCATCTCTGGGATCATATGTACAACGTCAGCGGGATGACCGTGATCTTGGATGGCCTGTAATTGCTTAACAGTACCATCAATCGCATCTTTGTTGAATTGGAGTTCAGCCAAATGAGCAACGGTGTTCTTAATGGCTGCATTTCCCTCGATATTGATATCTTCTTTCAACGCCTTGAAGTGAGCATCAACTTTAGCATAGACGCGTCTTTCATCCTCTTCCAGTTTTGAAGTGCAAGCCTCCATGTATTTTTCAATCGCTTGTTTACGGTTATGTGCCGAATGGATACCAACTTCGTACTTATCTGACCTCTGCCTTCCAAGGTCAATTACCGAGTGCAAGTTTTTCATGTTTGTTTTTGCAGTTTGTTCAATTTTCTCCAACGCATGACCTTGATGGTCAAAAGCAAAACAATCTTGACAGATAAGACAGTCGTCTTCTTTGCAAAAGTACTTGAGAGGCTCGTTTGTGTGTTCTTGGCAGTACATGGTTCGCTTGGATAACATATCTATAGCGATTTTAGTATCTTGTGACATATCCCCAGTCAGCTCAAGTAATTGATGTAACTTTGTAAGACGAGACAATTTGTGTGCGCGTCCGCACGCCTTACAAAGCTTTTCGTTGCACTCGATACATCTTAGAATAGCAGGTACCTTTTCATCTTCTTGAAGGCAAATATCGCAGTACTGTGTAGATGATTGACTCATTGAGCGATCCTTAATGGCATCCAAAACAGAGTTAGCGAAAAAGTTAACCTTTAAACCTGTAGCTTCTTGCCTTGGAATTGGGCAGAGATCTCTGCAGGTGGGGCACGCTAATGTGTTCTTGTCCTGTTGTTTGTCTATAACATCTTGAATGCACTTTCTGCAGTAACAGTGCATGCATGGCAACGATCTCGGGTCGTCCAGAACGTCCATGCATATCGAACATGTGACGGAGTCCATCAAAGGATCGTGTTCTGAGATATTTCCAGTCGCCATTTCTCAAATCGATATCTTTATGATAATAGTATAAAGATCTTAAATCAATGTCCTGGTAATTGTATCGTTTATCTCTTGTTTAAAGCATCCAAATGAACATTGCAGGTATATTCTATCCGCATCTAAAGCCCTTTGTTTATGTTACCGCACAGCAAGAACATGGATACGAAAAGCTCTTTCGTTTTGTTATGAATGTGTTATTGATAAACGATTCAGCAGTTATGTCAGAGTGATCTAGAACTAAAACTACAAGTATATAGATTGCGCTGCTATCTTTTGTGTAGTAGTGTTTTTCAGAACTAGTAGCAGACTCTGTAGTTATTGATTTACAGATCGAATATTTTAGTTAAACATTATAAGCATGTTTGATGAGAACTATGATCGGGGAATTCAATGAGTGTACGAAAAGTTATCATTGGTTTCCCGAATGCTCCCTAAATCCTTAAATCTCTTTGCTGCAAGACACAGTTCCATGGAGCCCCGAGGATGAAGAATGTTGAAAACATAAAGCCTGGAACCATGGAATTCTGAAAACTTCTTTCAACCAGGTTGATGTATGTAGTAGATTTTTAATTGCAGAAACTATATATATGACTAACATTTTGATAAGTTTAAACTCATAATTAATACCTGGGTGTATTGTTTTAAAACCGATTTGTTTGATGTTTCTATTTACTTACTACCGCATTACATGTGTGCTGTCACTTATAGATAACAAGGTAGCATTGATTTAGTAATTAAGTTTCACTTTTATTTTATCGGATCTAGCGTTGAATTGCTTTGTAAAAAGTCATACAAAATGTAATGTTAAACAGTAATATTTGATCACATTTAACAATAAAATGTCATATAAAGTTATATGAAATGTCCCCATAAAATAGATGTCGTAGTTGTTTACATATTGGATTCGAGATTCTTGTATGAATAATATTGTACAGGTGGGATGTTGCAGGATGCGGTGAAGCATTTAATATGTCAAATACATAATGTATGTGCACATTTCCATTTCAATAAAATATGGAAGACGCATATGGCTTATAAGAATGACACAATATTGATTATAAACAAATTACAGTATATCATCGAAATATGACCTGCATATTCATGTGCATATATAATTAAAATATTCCAACTTGAGTATGTTAATACTATAAGTTATTGAATGATTTGAAGTGCAATACAGGATATATTCTGCTCAAGAAATTCCGTATTGCAGACGAAGTCGAGTGCTAATACAGAATATCGAGACAGAATATATCCTGTATTGCACTTCAAATCATTCAATAACGTTTTTTATCGTGTGATCTTCTGTATTGCTACTGAGATTGTTCCCTCCGTACCAATATTTTCTGCATTGCGACGGAGATGATCAACGGGGACAATCTCAGTAGCAATACAGATTGGTACAGCACAAGAACTGACCAATCAGAGGGCTTCATTTTACAGATCATACAATAAACGGTGATATTGCATATGTATTGTTTACATAGTTCATGGGTCATCTGTTTCATAATTCAGTTTTTTCAAACGCATCATTTGTCACACCATTTACAGTAGACATGTCTTTTTGAGGTAGCTCACCCTCAACTTGAGGCAACTCATCTTCAGGTAGATGCTTCTTAGGCAACTCTCCTCCAATCTGAGGCATCTCACCTCCAGGTATGTGTTTTTTAGGCAGCTCATCTGCAATGTTAGCTAGCTCATCTGCAGCTTTATGTTTCTTCACACCTATCATTCTAGATGGTATCATTACTTGATTTGAAACGATAACAGCAACAACGCCTATGATGTATATGAATACCATAATGAACATAAGTGCCGTGGTACTCTTAAAGTCAATGATGTGAAGGACACTCGATATGCCTATCAGTACCCCGTATACCATGATGAAAATAAACATGTTGATGATGGTCGTAAGTGCCGATGGGCGTTCTCTCTTTAATGGACCACTGATACACTCGCGTATTACCAGGAACAGTTTTGTGAATCCCCAGGTGATGAAGAACGTCGCAAACATAAAGCCGGGAATCCTGACAACTTCGACCAGTCTGGTATACGGTTTGTTCTCTTTGTCGAGTATCTGGCTGTACGCCCCAACGATGATGCCTATAAACGCGGCAGGTGGCAACAATCTTAATAATTTCCACCAGCCCTTAACCTTGTCCCAAAATGGTAGAATGTACACCCCGGAGAATGCAACTGTGCCCAAAAAGCCAAAGAAGAACATAGGCCAGAGATCTGTCGCACTAGCAGGGTTCTTGGTCTGGAAGGCAACCATGGCACCATGGAGAAGCACCCAATTCTCCAAGATGAATCTCCACCAGCGGTTTGCGTGGAACTTAGTGTGCATCAAACTACCCTGGAGCATCCACATCCAGGTGTGTGTTATCCCGAGTGCATGTCCGTATGTGTTTTCCATAGGGTGATACCAAAACGTGAAGATTGCAGCCCACGATATCGCATATCCGTGATACTTCCGAATCACGTAGACACAATCCATCGGAAGTCTATAAATAAACCTAGAGAACTTGCCAGTGTCATGTCTTGAAGGCCAGCCCATGATGAACCCCCTCTCGTTATACTCCATCGTTAACATCAGACCAAGGGCCATGATGGCGGATCCTTGAGAGCTAGCTTCAACTGTATCTTGAGCAAGAGCATCGTATGTTGTATGCGTATTCACAAGATGAACTATATGAAAGAAAATGTTTATTACCAGCGCAGTCCAATTGTATCGATCCAATTTTGTTGTAAACTTTAGTACACCGTTTGGTCGCGCGGCCTTTGCCATTTGGGCTGCGTATGTGACGTACCAAATGGCGAGCTGGTGACCGAAGTAGCCCACGTACATGAACACCCTACTCCAGAGGGTCACCCTCGCCGGGGGTAATCTCCAGTAGTACCATCTACCCGACGCCCCTGGGGAATCCCTCCACTTGACACCGGGTTCGATTGAGTACGGCTCTGGCAAGAACCTCTCCATGGTTGTAATCGTTGCATTGTGGAAATACCCGGATGGTGCGTCCCATTTTCGCCAAGATCCTGGAAAACGATTCAATTTTATAGGATAAACAATAGACATGTAGATAGGTACAGTACATACACTATTTGATATCCAAACTTAGCAAATGAACTTATGTCCTTTTTGAACACTGCCAGTGTTTTATCCGTGCTCTTAAACTTGACGCTTCGACAAAATCTCATTTATACATGCATCAACAATCGACTCTGGGTCTTTCATTAGAGACATAAATTGACAAGGGGCCACTGGTAATGATTCAACACCGTTAGACCTTCACTCAAATTATCAATAATGAAATTGACATTTTATGTTGAGCTTCATGTGATATAATGAAGTTTTACTTTGACCGCCAGGAGTATCGTTGAATTCTGTTGTTAAATCAATCCTCTTAGTTTAGAATTTCAGGTATAATCCAACTTAACAATTTAAGTACATGTATGCAAACAACCTCACTGTTAACATTTAGATTGACCATAGTTCTTAAAACAACCTATTGACTGTAGCTTACTCTACGCAATTCAAAGCTCTACACTTACAAAAAATATTTAGAAAAGTTTTTTTATTAAACGATTCAAAAATCCAAGGTCAGCATCCACGCATGTGTACATACTCCAAGTTCCGCCAATAACCTGTTACATGTATTATTTAACGATCATATCCCTAAAAAATTTAACTCAGATGTATCCATGTAAAAACATTCTGATACTCATCAGGCCCGTAGCCAGAATTTTTCAAGGGGGGGTTCACTTTTCCCCAAAAATCTAGGGGGGGGGGGTTCACTTTGGCATATGTGGCCAAAAATCGCACAAAAAATGGCCAGAATGGTGAAAAACTGCATGATTTTGAAAGAAATTTTGGCCAGGGGGGGTTCGCCCGAACCCCTCGAACCCCCCTGGCTACGGGCCTGCTCATAGCATCTTTTTTCACCTGAAAAGCTCAGGACTGAGAAGAAATGAGGTGTCATGGTTTATCATGATGATGTCACAATAGTATGCGGACTTACCCAATGCGAACATAGCCCCGAGAGTGACGACTATGAAGGCCATCCCACCAATGAACACAAGAATGTCTTGTCTGTTGTACCATGGTGCATCCTATAAAATACAATGATATAAAAATCAAAATAATGGCCCAGTGGGTATATACCACGTATACACCCTCCGAATACATCAGACAACATCCGAACTATAGAATGGTATCCTTTACATTTAGATCACATAAAGTGCATAGCCTATTTCGTTTCTTAAGATTCTCCCAATTTTTGGTTTTCAAACAAACTGATCTAGCTTTTAGCTATGGTCATGTAATTCGGCCAATTCTTTTTTTAAAAAGATGGGTTGATTAATTGATGGGATGTTTATGATTTGTGAATTAAATAGTACAAAAGTGCACAACGCATCCAAGTTCAGTTAAATGAACAGCCTGCACAGTTGAATTGTCTGCCTTGGGCCTTTGTGGTCAGAAAGTGTTCAACGACCCGAAGCGCGAGTGACCAAGTGCACTTAGTTCAATATGAAGTCTAATTCAAGTACTTGTTTGATGAAACAAATATACATTTTTCAAAATGAGGTAAACGATTTCAGAAAAGTATAAATATTTTTGTCATCTTCTCACGAATGTTTATTCACATTTGGATTTTCAAATCCTTTGAATTGAACACTATTCATTAATTGTATCTTAAAAATTACAAAATAGAGAAAGCGAAAACTGGTAATAAGAAACATAAACATTGTCTTTGCATTTTGACAAGTATCCGGTGATTATATTTATTTGTTCTGAATGTGAAATTTTGTGTCAGAATTTGTAGTTAATATAATTAAGTTAATATAATCGAAATATCCAAAGATTAATATGATTTTAAGATTATCTAATTAGAAAAGATTTATATTTCAAAGGTCCATTGGAAAATAATGTACCGTATATCTTAAAAGGAAAGCCCTTTACCTTTCTGTTCTTTGCTTTGATAGCACTGCTGTAACACTGTTCCTTTTTGTCTAAATGTTTGTGTGTCCTGTTGTCAAAGACAGTAACGTCCTCTGGAACATGTTTGTTGTCATCAACATTGTTTAATTCGTTGGCACCATCTACCTCCACGTTAACATCATCGTTTGGGTCTGCCATGTTGAAACGATCGAAGATATTTGTTTTCTGTATATTTATATTTGACTAAACCAAACCTCGAAAATTTGGTGTATTGACAGGGAATCAATATATAAACGTTGAAGAACACGTGACGGTTTCAATTGACCCTTGCATAAGCGACCGAGCATTCTTTCATACTAAAAACCGTCCAATAAAACACAAGGTATGTGCAAGCACATGCAATAAAACGTGCAGCAAGTACAAATTAAAGTACACGGATCAATATTTGGGTATATTTGACGAGCGCTTGAATAGGAGCGTTTTTTTATACAACCTTGTATTTACGTGAATTACCTACTTTTTCAATTCAGGTTCATGTGGAAAGAGAATGATTAATATATTGCCTTTCAAAATTGAAAAAGGGCACGGATTTATTCATTTCTTGAACTTGTCATACTGTTACCATGTGAGACATTTTTCAACCTTGAATATTTTCCGAAAGTAGTGTTTGCCTGTTGATTGAATAATTTAATAATTGATGAAAATCTTTTTCAACTGTAATAAAAACTGAACTGAAGCGCTACAAAAACAATTAAATAAAGAAAAATATATGTTTTGTAGCGCTTGAACAGTTCAGTTTTTATTACAGTGAAAAAGGATCCAGATGTGATCCGAAACGTTCTCCGCCGTGGTTTCCAAACTGCGTACATACAATGTGACAAACTGCGCGCATATCAACATTGCATCATACAAGTGTTTTCAAACGTCATTTTGAGACATTCATTCTGCATTATTTTATAGTTTCATACGTCCATGTAGATGAACGTAGCTTTTAAAATATAAGCAGATTAATGAAAAATTGTAATCGGTTTTTCGATTATCGACACATAAGTTAAAGGGGCAATAAGGACTAATAAGGCCATGTTTCAAGAGGAATATCAGCTAAAATAATGTTTATCTAGGGGGTTTCTTTGTAGATAATAAAAATAGATGTTAGTCTTGATGAAATATCCAAACTTAAATATATTTTGACACTGGTCCATGATCGTTGAATGACCCCTCTGCACTAATTATTGCACCTTTAAGATGTCGCACTTTTCACAGAAATAGAAAATACTATATTACTTATACTATTTGCAGCATTCCTGTATCTTTCAGTATATGCAAACACAAGATGTAGAGCTGAATGAATTTCAAACTACGACAAACAGACATTATATGACGCAACACTGTATATTTTGAACACGAAAGCGATAAGGAACGATAAGTTTACACCAGGAAAAAATCGAGTGCTTCTTGTAAAGTAAGCTAGTCTCCACATAATGGTACTGTCTGATAAACAAAACTAACCTTGTTTTTCCAGTACTCTTCATCCTTATGGGAGTCGTGTCCTCTCCATCTGTCATTTTCAAATATGCGCGCAGTTTGTCAGGGTTTCAATCTGCGTGCATAGTATGCACACAGTTTGGATACCACACCGTGGTCCTTGAAGTTGAAATAAAGGTTGTGAAAAGAAAATAGTTTTGTGATTTAACCATCTAACCTGAAGGACATGTTTAAGAACATTTTTGTATTGTTTGTGCAAAGCTGAACATTGTAATCCATATGTAGAATGAGTTGTGTGTACCTGGAAATAACAAGAGAATCCGATGAGGAAGCCATCAGGGGAACATACAAAATTACCTTAATGTAGGACAACTACATGTTGTAATATTCCCTACATGTTGATCTCTGCAAAATGATTGGAACATTTAGAGCGAAAAGGTCTTCCTTGTAGCTGCACTGCCAAGGGGGTGATAATTGAAATCCGATTTCTTTATATATTATCAATAATAGAAACTGTTTGTGGTCATACTTTCTATTCTCGAACATATATTTTTTTCTGAACAATATTTAAATCTAATTTATGAAGATATATGGTTGAGCATAAGAGTTTACGCATAGGTTCTGGGCCGATATAAAGATGGCAGCACCAACATAATCCAGTATTATCAGAATAATTACAAGGAGGATTGGCTCCCAGAGTGCAACATCGATATTCTGTCCCATATATGGAAATGTCGTGATTCAAAATTTGAATTCAAACAGCCACCATTTTGTTCACTTCAGCATTTGAATCGTGAATTTTGGTCTTATTCCTAAATGAAAAATTCCAAAACTCACAAGAAATGATCGATATATTGGTTCGAATTTTTTGGACTGTTTATTTTAAATTTATCTTCGGTAATAATTTCAGAAAATAACGACATTTCGACGTTTTCATTGTTGGAAAATATCGATAGCCGATCCTGGGAGCCAATCCTCCTTGGAATAATTATAAATAAACACAGATCGATTACCATGCCATCTTTATTTAAAAATTATTTCTATCGACCTTTGCCAATGAGTTTGCCTAATACACCTGTTTAATTTTATTCCTTTAATGTTCTCTGGTGTGTTCTTTATATGTTCTCAAATTTTCTAAAAATACACACTTACTGTACGAAATCTTATGTAAATTCGTGTTTATAGAACACAGTATAAATATCCACAGACCTATAAATAAATAGACGATTACTGAACATATGTTAAATTTTATTGAAACGAAACATAGTGATGTATGTTTATCTTTTAAAAGATTCCACCTATGTGTATTCCTCTACGCCCCGTATGGCTAGGACAAAATACACCTTATTGAAATTGCAACGCATATTCTCCGAAAGAGAATGGAATCTTTGTTTTTATCCACTGCAAATTTTTCATTCTCTGATTGGTTCTTTCAAATGGTATATTTTTGTTTGTTCGTTTTTGCAAACTTGAGACAGTTTTCAGGCAACGAAAACAAATGTTCCTGTATGAAAAATCAGTAGGCCTTATCTTTCGACTTATGGGGCGATATTACATGAACAGGCTCAGGAACAAGTTCTCTATGCAGTATAAAGTGAGTGAGTGGGTGGGGGTAAGGGGGTGGGGGTGAGTGGGTGGGGGTAAGGGGGTGGGGGCGGTTGAAATTTTGAACTACATTTATTGAACTATGTTCCTGGGCTTGTGAATACATTCCATTACTATAAGATATACTGATCGACAACATTAAAAAACATATTCAAATCGTGTAGATAGATTTAACGTAGAGTAGGATAATGAACGACTTTGCGTCCTCACCTATACTAGGATCGATTTTTAACTGAGATGGATTCCCGGAGGATATGGTGTCCACGTGCACTCAAAGTGTCAGTCAAACATTAATAAATTCATGATCACCTGATTATAATTCCATCAACTCTAAATACTTCTTATCTGGCATAATATATAATTTCTAGGCTCTTTAGATGGGATAAATGGATTGCTAATCGACATTATAATTTTCTTCATCCAATTTGTCGTTATCAGTGTCATTGTGAATGTAAATGTTGATATTTCAATTCTCTTAAAAGCCCATGGAATGACTCTCCTCCATCATTTGGACAAAGTGAATGATTCCTTATTTTCTCACCAAAAATATATTTACTTTCGAAATATCTTGAATATTTCCCCAAAACTTTTTTCCTTTAGCAGTGTTAAAATTAACAGCTGTACAGTTGTTGTACCACCAACCTCCTTGGCTTGCGCAAGAATTGCTCTCAGTGATGTTCTCCTTAGTTAGAAACATAGATCCATTGATATTGTTGTTTTCTCCATTGTTAAAAATGTCATCCTGTAGACCCCCACCTGGTTGGAAACCACCAATTTGTAACCTATACCCATCATTCTCATCACTAATTGAAAAATCCGAGTAGGTTGCCCTCTTCCAATTTGAATTTGAATCCTTAATGTTAAATGAGACACTATAACTATACGTACTGATGAGAGCATGTATGTTTTCCAAACCGACCCAAAAAGAGCCATCTGAACCGTTGAATCCCGATCGATAATCCGACCAGGTGCGTGCCTCAAAATATGCATTTGTATCGGCATATTGTCTCTGAATTAAAGTCCGATAATTGTTGCAGTTTACTTGAAATGGTGGCTTCTCAAGGTCTGGTTGTATCATATCATACCTCGGACCTTGTATACCGTTACAGTCTTGTGGTAGATCCAACACAGCGAGAGGTTTCTCTGAATACACCCTCCATTCTTTTGCTCGCCTCAATTCGTATTTGAATTTAGGCTGTTTGGCTAAAAGTTGACAGGTTGCGTCCTTTATGTTATAATTCACTGCGACACATTTTGGTTGCTCTGACTTCTGACATGTTGTTAAACATTGTAGAATTCCTATTTCCATGTCCTGTAAACCGAGCGTCATTTCTTCTGTCCTAATCGTTGGTATTTCGTAGATGCACCCAAATGTATGATAGAATTTAGTCGATTTACCACCATTCATGCCGTAATCCTGAGATGTGTCATGAAGAAAAAAAGAAATGAACAGAAGCAACGGGCCGCAAATCTTCATATTTTAATATTCGATATCCTTTTTGTTATTTTAGTAACTTATGTTCAAAGCAATTTTAACCTATATTCATATGTTGTGTCATTCCATTCCTAGTGAAGCGGTGCATGTACTGTACGTTGTAGCTATTAAGCTTACATTATATTACAAAATTATGAATTATTAATGAATTTCAATGGTGTGACGAACGGTGCACTTATTCTGATTGTATCGTAATTATAATGTCTTATTATCTATTTTGTGAAGCAATCGTTACATGAGAATAACAGAGTTAACTCTCATTGTGAACGCTCACGTTTTCTACTTATTCAATGAGCAAATACTATTGAAATTCTTAGTGATAATGTACATTATTCCATTATACTACTGGTTTCCCAGTGAAATATGAAGGAATAAGACTTGTAATGGTTCGTATTACATGAAAAAACCGTATTGTCCCCGGGAAAAAATCGTATTGGAACGTTATACATGAAAAAATCGTATTGTCCTTGGAAGAAAAATCGTATTGGAACGTATTAACTTATTTTTGTTTTCCCGGTTATTTTTCAACCTTTGCTAAAACCTTTGATAAAAGCATTGTCCAAATGTAACATTTTAGAGGAATGTATTATGGAAGAAATAAGTTATTTCTGGTCGGGATTGAATATGGGTTCTATTCCTCGAAAGATAAAAAACCTTGAGCAATAAAACCCATATTCAAATCCCTCCCAGTAAATAACCTATATTTATTACCACCTTACCAGACCTTTTATGTATATTAGCACTAGTTTAGAAGGCTTATATTTAAGAAATATAGACCGAAGAGCAGGTGTTATATCGACGAATAAATACCTTGGGGCTAGGAACAGAGGCTTTCGAACCACAGAAAACGTTTGTACCTAGCTCTTTGGTATTTATTCGTCGATATAATACCTGCTCTGAGGTCTTTATTACGAATCGAACATAAAAGTCATCATACTTTTTCGGATAATCATTATGGACCGCCATTACTACGGCCTGTCGTTATGATGTCACACATTACTCGTATTACCAGGACCAGTGTCGACGAATACATACCGGGGGAAATATTTATTTTGTTCACGGTTTATAGAAGACGAATGGCGAAATAAATTGTAAGCAAAATATAATTACAAAAATTAATATTAAATTGATAATTACAGTGTGTACAATAATTTGACCTTGTAACACCACGTACTTTTTCATAATTCTGAAATATGTTACAATATACAAGTATATTTCAGCGTAGTGTAACCATGCTTTGCAATTATTGCAAAGGCGACCATTATTGATTTTTAAGCACGCTTTAATTTTCGAATTAATTTTACTTTTTAATGTACTTTTATACTTTGATGAGATAATACGATGATGCCGTTAAGTTCAGTCCCCATTTTAAACTTTTCTAAGAGGTGTCATTCATATTTTCACTGGACTTTCATCATATTTTAATTAACAATCTTTTATATTTCTATTTTAAACGGTTTCATTGAACCTTTCTAACGAGTTGAAAACACGGATGTAAATCTTTTTGGTAAAAAGATGGCGTCAATTTGATTTGGTGATGAACATCTAAGAGCCAAAAATCAGAAAACATTAGAAATTTCCTGAAAACTACTTTTCTCCGTAGGATATCTCCGTGTATTAGATATAGATAAATCATATTCTTTTAAACCACCGATCGCCTAGTCTAACTACATGTAATTTACATCGCGTTCATGGTGGATATTCTAAGTTTATTTCACTCACAGTCACTGGTCAGGTCGTTTCAATATCATATTAGTTTCTTGTCAAGCATTTTTGCTACCGAAATATTGTATATGTTTCCCCCAAAACATATTTCCTTCTGCAGTGTTGAAGTTAACAGCTGTACAGTTGTTGTACCACCATCCTCCTTGGCTTGCGCAAGGATTGCTGTCAGTGATGTTATCCTTAGTTAGAAACATAAATTCATTGATATTGCTATCCCCTCATTGTTAAATATAGCATCTTCTAAAGATTTTTCTCTTTGCTGGTAGCCACTGATACTCAGTTTGTATCCGTCATTCTCATCACTTATTGAAAAGTATGAAAAGGTAGCTCCCTTCCACTCTGCATTTTTCAAAATAGAAAATGTGACTCTGTGTTTATATGTATTAGTAAGAGCATCAACTTTTTCTAATCCAATCCAAAACAAGTCATCTGAAGTACGGAACCCTGAACAATAATTTGTCCAGGTAAGCTGTTCAAAAGATAATTCATAAGTGGCAGGTTGCTTTTGAGTTACAACCCGTCCGCGGTTGCATGCTACTACAAATGGAGGCTTTTCTATATCTGGTTGTATTTTAGTAGACCATGATGAATCACTTTCATTCTTACAGTCTGGTGGAAGATTCAATACAACGAGAGGTTTCTCTGAATACACCCTCCATTCTTTTAGGTTTCTCTGAATACACCCTCCATTCTTTTGCTCGCATCATTTTGTATTTGATTTTAGGCTGTTTGACTAAAAGTTGACAGGTTGCGTCCTTTATGTTATAATTCACTGCGACACATTTTGACCGTTTTTTAAATATTGTAGAATTCCTATTTCTATGTCGCATGACCCCAACGTCATTATGTCTGTCCTAATCGTTGGTATTTTGTAGATGTACCCAAATGTGGGAAAGAATTTAGTCGATTTTCCACCATTCAAACCGTAATCTTGAGATGTTGTTGAGAAATAAATTAATGAACAGAAGTAACGGGCCGTGAATCTTCATATTTTAATAATCTTTATCCTTCTTGTCATTTTAGTGACTTGGTTTCACTACCAGTGTCAACCTATTATAATTTGTTGTGTCATTTCGATCCTAGTGAGGTTATGCACAGCTTTATATTATAGTAACACATTCTCAAGTTTTCAGTTACATTGTCAACTAACCCCCCTAAGATCTGTTAAATGTCATTTATACCTTAGGTCTAAGGTCAGGTGTATTAAAGGTACGTATATGACAAAACCATTCATTGATTAGACCTTAGGCCTTAGGTCATGTAAATCACAAACCGGTATATTGACGAGACCTTATGCCTAAGGTCGAGTGTATAAGGACACCGTTCACTGATGAGACCTTAGGCCTAAGGTCTTGTTAATCACGAAACGGTATATCGACGAGACCTTAGCCCTAAGGTTGAGTGTATAAAGGGAACCATGTATTAATGACACCTTAGGCCTAAGGTCAGATAACAATATTTGATATATCGAAGAGACCTTGGGCCTAAGGCCGGGTGCAAAATGAACCATTTATTAGTGAGACCTTGGGCAGGGTCGGATCTGGAAACCAACAAGGGGGGGGGGGGCAAATTTCAGGTCAGAGTAAAAAACTTCCGCGAAAAAAAAAATTTGGGCCCCTAAAACCCAAAAGTGGGCCCAAATTTTGAAACTTTGAGGCCCATTTTCTTCAAAATTTGGCCTGAAATTAAAAAGTAAGGCCTTAAAAGGCCCAGTAATGACCAAAAAGGCCCACTTTTTGGAGCCTGAAGGCCTTTTTGGCCCCCAGCCCCCCTCATTATCCGCCAGTGTTGGGCCTGAGGTCATGTAAACTAAGAAACGGTATTTTGACGATAACTTAGGCCTAAGGTCAGACATATGAGTATACCATTAGTTTTTAAGACCTTACGCCTAATATTCTATTTACTGTTTCTATATAACCAAACATGTAAATGTTTCCTGATAGATGAGTACTTACCCTATCAAGAATAAACCTTGATTCATTATCAAACACTAGATGGCGCTGCGACGGGCCAGAGAAGGAGAAAAAGCTTTTTTATACAGGAAGCCAAATAACCAAGTATCATTACTCTGGACTATATTAATAGATAAACACAGATCGATTACCATGCCATCTTTATTTAAAATGATTTCTATCGCCCTTTGCCTATGAGTTGTAGGTTTAGAAAATTGCTCGCATAGTTTTATCTTCTGTTGATTACGCAGAGTAATGCATTAAAGGCAGGTCAAATGCAGACACGGGAGCAGACCATCAAATTCTGTTTTTAAACCATTTATTAGAAAATTAAAGAAGAAAACAATACTCTCTGATCACTCTACATCATCATCGGTATGTTATAAATCGTTTATGTCACTATCGGGTCACATATTCCCTCGGTTTCCAGAGATCAATGGCGCTCCCAAGGTCGGGCCATATATCACTGAAAACCTCGGGCATATATGCCATGATAGTGACATAACCTCTTATTATCACACGAGGCTTTTTTAATCCAAAATGTATCGATATTGAAGAATACGTTTAATACAAAATAATGTGCAATAAGCGAACTTAAGTGATTTTTATCAACCTACTAATATCATGGTGTACGTTGGCCTTTCCCAAGTCTGTATTAACTTTTATTTATCTTGATTATCAATTATATGCAAAATAAAAATAAAATTAAAAACAGAACATAAAAAGACACAGCCTTGGGCAAAGCTAAGTGTATGTCATATTTCCGGATAATCCCAAAACCTTTGTTGGGGTGAAATAATCAAAAGTGACCCGTAAGCAATTATAGATTCAGTCTGTTCATTTTTTACTTGTATGCCGTCACACGTAGGGCTTGAACAGCTAGTCCCAATACGGTATATTTGTTTTGACAGCAAATCAAATGACAAAACCTGATTTCCTTACAACTTCAATAAACATTAAAATAGAGACGGATGAGTTTCCAGATAAATTAATCATATTTTCCTTTTGTCTTAACCATACCTTGTTTTTTAATTTGTGACGTTTCGTCCAGCATGGTCGCTTGACTTTTTCGAACTGCTTGAAGTTGATACTTGATCTTGAGAGTTAATTAGCACTTTATTCCACAAACTTGATAATTCGTGATTGCCTGAGTCTCTATTCATACACTGTTTTTCTTTCTTTATGTAAATTGCCTCTTTTATCCACCGTTTATTTCTCTGACCTTCATTGTCTATAACCTTGACGTTATCCCAATCAACTACATGGTTCATCTGACGCACATGATCAGTGACTGCTGATTTCCCATATGATGACTGGGCTTCTTTCCTAACACTTCTTGTATACCTAGTCAGTCCACAATCAGAGACATCTTTCTTATGTTCTGATAGTCTTATATCTAATTTCCTGCCTGAGACTCAGGCAATCACGAATTATCAAGTTTGTGGAATAAAGTGCTAATTAACTCTCAAGATCAAGTATCAACTTCAAGCAGTTCGAAAAAGTCAAGCGACCATGCTGGACGAAACGTCACAAATTAAAAAACAAGGTATGGTTAAGACAAAAGGAAAATATGATTAATTTAGAAAGACTAACCAGATGAATTTATTTAGAACTAGTTTCCAGATATTTTTGTAAAACCTTTCGATCTCTCATGAGCAATGTTGGTAACATTCTGTGATGTGATTTATCGTGATCGTAGCGAATGCCCAGTTTTTTAGTATGAACTAAATTAATATTTCCTAATTTTTTCGATCTCGATGGTTCGTATACTTTAGTAATCCAGTCGTCTGCGTACCATGCACTAAGTTGCCGGGGATAGTAGAATCCGAATATATCGATGTGATGTCTATGTACAAATTCGTATGTAAGAATGGACAGTTTGCCACCTGTGTGGTTTGGTCCAACGACACCTATCAATGGAGGTTCATACGCAGCTAGAGTAGCAATGAATTGTTCAGTCCAACCACTTGTTTTTAAAATTGTGTCATCGTTTATCCTGTAGAAATACGTCACATTATCTGCGTGCGCAGCCATCATAGCGTCGTTCTGGGCCCATGCTGGCTTGCCTGAAAATTTACACTTTACAAAATGGATACTTATCGTTTTTTCAATGTCCTGAATTTCATAACACTCACTTCTGTTCATCAAGACCCCATTGAATATTCCTCTAAATCGCTTATAGGCATCGTCCTTTATGAAGAATGGGTCGTTATAATCATGTGCAAAATAAAAATCATATTTGAAACCTCTTGACATTGTTAAACAAAATGAAGGAAGTAAATCCGCAAAAAGAGGCAGATGGGATATGTCGTCTTTCTGTAGATCCTTATGCCGAATTTTTATTGCGCATCCTATGGCGATAATGGTTGAGTTAATCCCAGTTGACCGCAATGTTGATAATGTATTATTTGTGTTGTCACTATTGGATTTTACGGTAGTTGCGAAGTCGTAGCTTTCAATGAATATGTCACTGGGTTTGATGATGGTGTATGATAAAGTATCTTCCAAATAGTTAAGCAGTAGATGGATTAACGTCACGATGAAAATCAGAGTTACCATTCTCACCACTAGACGCACATGTACTTTCATGGTTTCAAACTCTCAATCTTAAAATCTTTGTTATTGAACTTATCGTACCAGCTCTCTGTTTTGGTATAAACCTTTCTTGCATAGATTTAGTTATATTGTATGCCTCTAAAGGTACTTCACTACTGTAATTTATTGTCTCGAGTTTACTGGTCAACGATCATAAATCTAGAGTAAAGTGAAACAAGTGTTTACTTTGAGTTCGCAGATTTACATATGTCAACAATGTTATGATGTTTGAAACAATAAATATCCATTAAAATAAAAATATGGCCTTTACTTGTTTTGAGGTGTGGGAAGGTGGTTGGAAGTGTCCAAAACAGTGGTATGGTTTGCGACTGAGAAATTATAAATGGAGGTAGCCATGAATAGTAGACGTTTGGGCGAGTGTGGTTACAATCCTACAATCCTTTTACATGTAAGTGTCATTTTTTTATATTGGTACTCGTTTTCGATATATACCATGGGCTTTCAACAAACTATAAACTTTCAATTAAACGTTTAGTCAGTAATTTCTACCCTTTGCATTTGTTCGACTTCGCTTCACAAAAGAGAGCTTCGTCTTTATAACTAGACTTTGCACAGGGTAAATATTTCATATTTTCGATCTACTGTAAATGTCCATTATCACGGCCGTAAATCGGACAAAATAAGTAAAGTGGGGAGGGGGCAATTTCTGCTAGTAAATTCAAAATGGCATCAATGTTTTTTACGATGTTATATTTCATGTATGAAATGACAATTGAACTTGTTGTGGTGTGGCTAATATATTGTATTTTTGGTGAACGTATTATGAAATCAATATTGTACAACAATAGAATTAAAATAAGTAAAATAGATAACAGAAAGGTTACAGCCCAGTCACATTTGTCTTACGGCGGCCGTACGTCGACCGCAGATCAATTAAATCAGTGAATTTCTGCGGCGAGCATATGAAAACTGTGGACTCTGTACGGCGTATCCAGTTTTTACAGGCCGTATATGGTAGCCGTAGAAATTATAACTCGGAGTCGTAATATTTGTTCATTTCCGCGGTCCTCGTTGAAATCAACAGGCCGTTAATTGTCAGACTACAGTACGGTCCCACAGTACGGTCTCACTGAAACGACGAGAAAGAGTCGAAGGCAAATATACAAAGCCGGCTTTCAAAGCCGGCTTCTACAGTACATCAGAAGCCGGCTTCTGGCGTCACCAAAAAACCGGCTTTTAAAAACCGGCTTCGAATGACTTACAGAAGCCGGCTTCTGCAGTTACCAAGAAGCCAGTTTTAAAAGCCAGATTCTCTCTCTCAATCATTTTGCTGTGCATTATGCATCTTATTCTTGTATAATTAGCATGGAAATGAGAAAAAATGAAAATAAGTAAAATTGTAACATATTGCAAGATTTTTTTGCAAAAAGTAATTTTAACCAAACTTATGGGGGAAATTTAATTCTAAGTAAAAATATCGATGAATTAAATCATGTTCGTTAAATAAGAGTAGATTATGCATTGCATTTCTGTTTGATAAAAACGCATCGCTCATTTTACAAAACTGGCTCCAACTTGGAGCCAGTTTGCAAATCAGCTCCCTCCATCTTACACAAGCTATGTAGGGGCAATCTAGCAACTGGGAATCACGGGATAGTGTTTCATGATAATTGTCATGTGCATTATGCATCTTATTCTCGTATAAATTGCATGAAAATGAGAAAAAACTGAAAAATACGTAAAATTGTAACTTATTTCAAGATTTTTTGGAAAAAGTCATTTCAAGCCAAAACTATCACAATAAATTGAATTCTAAGCACATATATCGATGAATAAGATCACATTCATTAAATCAGAATAGATTATGCATTGCATTTCCGTTTAATAAAAACGCACCGCTCACTTTTCAAAACTGGCTCCAACTTGGAGCCAGTTTGCAAATCAGCTCGCCCCATATGACAAATGCTATGTAGGTACAATCTGGTAACTGGGAATCACGAAATACTATCTCACGATCATTTTTATGTGCATTATGCATGTTATTCTCGTATAATTTGCATGAAAATGAGAAAAAACAGAAAAATACATAAAATTGTAATATATTTAAAGATATTTTGCAAAAAGTCATTTCAAGCCAAAACTATGAGAGAAAAATCTATTCTAAGTAAAAAATATCGATGAATTAGATCATGTTCACCAAATCAGAGCAGATTATGCAACATTTCCGTTTAATAAAAACGCACCGCTCATTTTACAAAACTGGCTCCAACTTGGAGCCAGTTTACAAATCAGCTCGCTCCATCTTACACAAGCTATGTAGGGACAATCTAGCAACTGGGAATCACGGGATACTGTCTCACGATCATTTCTATGTGCATTATGCATCTTATTCTCGTATAATTTGCATGAAAATGAGAAAAAACTGAAAAATACATAAAATTGTAACTTATTTCAAGATTTTTTTGCAAAAAGTCATTTCAAGCCAAAACTATGAGAGAAAATTTATTTCTTAGTAAAAATATCGATAAATTAGATCACCTTCACTAAATCAGAACAGATTATGCATTGCATTTCCGTTTAATAAAAACGCACCGCTCATTTTACAAAACTGGCTCCAACTTGGAGCCAGTTTACAAATCAGCTCGCTCCATCTTACACAAGCTATGTAGGGACAATCTAGCAACTGGGAATCACGGGATACTGTCTCACGATCATTTCTATGTGCATTATGCATCTTATTCTCGTATAATTTGCATGAAAATAAGAAAAAACTGAAAAATACGTAAAATTGTAACTTATTTCAAGTTTCTTTGCAAAAAGTCATTTCAAGCCAAAACTATGAGAGAAAATTTCTAAGTAAAAATATCGATGAATTAGATCACGTTCACTAAATCAGAACAGATTATGCATTGCATTTCCGTTAAATAAAAACGCACCGCTCATTTTTCAAAACTGGCTCCAACTTGGAGCCAGTTTACAAATCAGCTCGCTCCATCTTACACAAGTTATGTAGAGGGAATCTAGCAACTGGGAATCACGGGATACTGTCTCACGATCATTTCTATGTGCATTATTGGAGCCAGTTTTGGTGACTCCAGAAGCCGGCTTCTGTTGTGCTTCAGAAGCCGGTTTTTAAAAGCTGGCTTCTTGGTGACTCCAGAAGCCGGCTTCTGTTGTCCTTCAGAAGCCGGATTTTAAAAGCCGGCTTCTTGGTGACTCCAGAAGCCGGCTTCTGTAGTACGTAAGAAGCCAGTTTGTAAAAGCGGTTTTTGCCTTCGAGTACTTCTGCAAACTGGAACGGATAAATTTATGTAAAAAACTTAAAACAAAATGGAATCACTGCACCTCTAATTAAAATCGTTGTGTGCATATATTGTATACCACTTATAGGTCTCCAAGATGTTTAACTACTTTCAAGGGAAGAGCCAAACATTATGCGGCATTTATAATTATGACATGCACGGACCTGGGGACAATTAGAGATATACGGGCTAATGTCACCTAGAAACGTTAAGCATATATTTCATATATAATTTTAATTTTTTTTATTTGCGTTTCAGTGATACTATTTTTCCTCGAAAAGTTTGATGCGAGCTACCATATTTTAAAGTTAAAACTACCCCAACACCGTGAAATACGTTCTACGACGTAACACTTTACCCTTGACCGGTTTGTTGAAATTAGAATAACTTTTGAAATAATAATCAGAATCCAATGAAATTTTCACATTTTGTTCAATCGACCATATGTATTTATGACGTCATAATTCCATAACGGCTACAATTCGAATGTTCTTATATGGACGCTTGCTAGATTTTTCAAAATTATGTGACACTGACACTTGACTTCTACTTTTGGGCTAGATTTCGTAAAGAAAAGACACATTATTTTTGTAACTTTTTGGACTAAACTATAAAATTATAACAATATTATCGCACGCAAAATGATCGTAGTTCTACTTAACTGCTTTTATTTATACTGAAAAATACTCACTTGTTTCACTTGGGTCTCAGAAAAACATACCCCAAAAATATTTATCAAGATTAGCGCTATTTGTGATACTATTCTGATAACATTGACTTCGAACAAAGGGAATTTTTCAGATTTCAGTGGCGTAGCGTGGCAATTTTACTAGGGGACGCAAATTCCAAAATTGGGATGGGGGGGGGGTTTCCCGATACGCATTCATTTCCACTTGAAATTTACTCATAAGTACTCATTATAAGTCTTGTAGAAATTCAAGCAAAAATATTTAATGTATCGTTAAGAATGAATGGAGAAATCTAGCTAATTTATTTAGGATCCAGGAAGTGCAATTTACGGTATCAAACAAGCGAAAAAACGTACAAGCATGATGGAATAATTGATGATGTAGGCCTACTGTACAAAGTTCAAATATCGGTCAATACACTAAAACTTTACGTATCGATCGTCCCGTGTTTTCATAAAGGAATATAACAAGGAATATAACATAAAATCATTTATCCCATACTTGGACGTGTTACAGGTACATAAAGCTGGTTTGTAAAAACTTATATTTTCATCAGCGGGCAGATATAGCTTTACGTCCCGCTCCGAGCGGGCAGATATAGTATATCTGCCCGCGCTGCTACGTCATAATCACCGCTCGCATATTTGTTCATAATTTGTAACGTTCGCGTAATGACTGTAATCGACAATGGAGAAAACACAGACAATCGGGATCTGTTTGATGGTTTAAAAAAGGAAGGAGCATCCACTTAATCAATTAGTAATTCGAGAAAATAAATGTGGGAATATCTGAGAGAACACGAAAATCCGCCCACGGCCAAGAAAACAAAACTGGACGTGAATATTCTAAAATATTTCCACGATTGAACAATGTGAACCAGATGAGATTTGTATTGGTATGGGATAAACATATTATCCTATAGTCGGTTCAGGTTCCCTTGGCCAATATAATATATTTTCCCTCGGGACCTGCGGCCCTCGGGCAAATATATTATATTTGCCTCAGGATAATCCCAATATCCTGAACCTCATATTAGTGAGTCAGATTTATGACAAAACGTTTCAGATTGTGATAGAAGCGTGAATTTTGGTATATAACTTCCTTATCCAATTT